AGGCGCTTCGGTATGTCTAAGACATCATCATATAGTTGCGCAAGTAACTACTGTCTGTCTTTCCGTCTATCCGTCTGTCTACCTGTGTCTTTCCATCTGCACCGAACGCCAATCTGCCTCCAACTTTCGATTTCAGAGGCGCGCGCTAAGCATCCAATCTAAGGAGGTATCTATCGTATATGAACAGGTTGCCTTGCGAGTATTACCTACCTACCTACCTAGCCTGCCTACTTGCCCCTCCCTCCCATCGTCATTGTGGCTACATAACAAACGCGCCGCTGCGCCTTCGACACTTCGGATTCCGATAATCATATAGGTAGGTACCCGGCTATTTCTATCTGGCCCGTATGCACGTGAATACCCAACAGACTGGGCATGTTTCGGTTGCCTGGCATGCTTACCCACGATGGAAGAAATCCGTGGTGAGATCCTCCTCAGCTAGCCGCCTCAGCTTACGTAGGTATGTGGTACTTGTCCTAGTATCTCTATACAACATTTGAACTTCCATCTGAGGCTTCCATGCCTACCTAGTACATGTACCAACATAAAACCTACGTCGAGTGGGGGAATATACATACACGGCCAGGTGAGACAGCCCAGGTAACGCACACCAACTCGTAGAAACACTAAGGCCCGTCGACGTGGTATCGATGGCATCTTCCCGGCGCGTAGATGGCAACGGTATATCAGATCATTGCCTTCTTATCTCACCACATGGTCGTCAAGGATATCTAATTGACTAAGCGGATATAGGTAAGGTAGATATGGACAATGCCTGGACAAGACCTGGATATGTATGTGCGAGTAACATCGTGAGCGGCCCATTTCTACCTTTGGGTAGTATGTACATAATTATGTAGGTTTATTCTTTTCTTTTTTCCTGTCTCTCTTCTTCTGAAGTCAGAAAGGCCGAACAGTAAAGGATCTCCGACCCAGCTCGGGGAGGATTGGCCGCCCGCGAGGCGTATGCCGAACATTCCACCAACACAGACATGCATACACGTATGAGTGTATGTATGTACCAATATACATGCCATCTACTTCCTCGATACAACCGTGGGTACAAGCCGTATATCTGTCCATGTATGTACATGTGTGAACAGTACATGCATTGCATATATGTACATATAGATATCCCATCCGACCACTCAGAAAAGAAACAAGCCCAGAAAGGAAGAAATCCTTCGAGTGTGCCCTTCCCGTAAAAAATATCATATGGTAGTAGGTCGGTACACAGTTAGTGGGTAGGTGTAGTTTACTATTATGTAGGGCCAGCAGTTAATTAATTAGTTGGTTAATTCATTCGTTGTTTCTATATGTATGTATGTGCTGCTGTGCCTCTCTCCTGCTTTACCTCTAGCACCGGCATCCTCACTCGCACGTACGTGCCTAGCTACTGGGCAACTAGGTAGTTAGTTGGTTAGTTAGTTGTATGTAGCTCCCCCATCCCCATCCCCATCCCCCCCTGGCTCGGCTCTTCTTCATTCGTTCAAGCTGGCCAAGGCACTTTTCCTGTTCCTACCACCATACCCTTGTCTAGGTAGTTATGCTTCAGATTTGATCTGCTGGGTTGATGTTTCTTCTTCCCGCTTTCGCTTTCTCTCTCTCTTATTAGTTTTTGATAGGGGTTTTAGGTATGGGTAACTACATTTTGTATGGCTGTTGGTTGGTTGCAGGGCTAGAGGTAGGGTATAGAGGTAGTTATTAATTAGGTACCTAATGTATGTCCCTACATACATATTCTTAAGTAGACACCTTTTAATACTGCAGTTGACTCCAATTGACTTCACGCGAGGAGGCCGGGAGGGAGGGAGGGAGTGGGGGGGGGGGGGGGGGGGGGGCAGGGCGGATGACAGACATAGGGAGCTGGTAGGTAGGTAGGGTAGGTAAGTAATGAATGTATGTATGTAAGTGATACGAGGTTGATTCCCGTTTATATTCTCGCATACATAGGTGTCTGCCGACCTACCTGTCTACCTAATGTTAGAGACCTGGTAGGTAGGTACATATGTAGTTGCCTGGAATACTACACCCTATGATCGTTAAACTGTTAGTTAGATGCCTATAGGGCCAGTGTATGTAGCTACTCGGCAATCTAAACCAAGACAAGCAACAGCCACTGCCGCCGCAGTGACTACACACACACACATGCAATGCAGGCTTGCAGGAATCGGTTTCTGAGACGGATTGGTTGGTTCGCTCGCCGAAGTATGTATGTGTGTGTTGGGGGCTGGGCTGGGCTTTTTAGGGTTGCGTAATGTGAGGTGGTGGGTGGATAGGTAATCAAGGTCTGACTGGAGGCGGTGCCGCTTGCTTGGGGGTGGTGGTTTTTTTTTTTTCTCTCGCTCGCTCGCAAGGGAACATAACCGAACTATCTAACATAGCATACATGCAACATTGAATGTCATACGTACGTACCGACTACCCGACTGTCCTGTGCCTACATGTAGGTACCGGTTTTAGAAGGGATAGGAAGGGAAGCGTACCTACTAGTTTACGACGGGAGAATCATCTACGTTAGGTACTACATGTATGTACATATATGAAAGTGATACAGCATCAAGCAAAATCATATATCTATATGTAGGTACCTAAATTACATACATACATACATACATACATACATACTTGTTAGGGCTTAGATTTGTGACACTCCCGTCCGTCTCCCCAACTGCCCACTCTTGCGGGTCTTCGCGCCCCTAGTCAAGTCAGTCAGCGCAACCAAAACCCGCTACTGCAGTGTGCTGCAGTATCTTTGTTCCGGCCGGTCTCCGAGGGCTGAGAGGGATGGATGGGTGGATGGGACTACAATAATAATTGTCCCGGCACCAAAAAATAAAATAAAAATAAAAATCGCTTCGGCCGTTGCCTAAACCCGGCCGAGCGAGCCTAGATAGATACGTAGATACGATACTAGGTACGAGAGTGGAAGCCACCAATGTCATATCATGGCGATGTACTACGTGAGTAAGAAGGGATCCCCTTCTCGTCCTCCTCCGTCTCCCTCCCTTCTCCCCACCAACCACTGCGGTCAGCTTAGAAGGAAGGAACGGGCAGAACGTTTTCTGGTCGCCTTCTTTAACTACCTACCACGTGGAAGCCGCATATCGGCATCATCGGTCGGGGATCTAAGCTGGCTAAGGTAGGTAGGTAGGTAGGTCGGTAGGTTCAAGATTGATCTTTGTATACCTAGTAGGGAAGGATAACCTACCTGAGTAGTCAATAGATCCACGTACTGTGCATACAGGGAAGACGTCTGGAAGAAAGGGAACGATACGTAGAATGGGGGCTGAAGATTTTTAGATCGTCACGCTTCCTTGTAGGTAGGTATCTATTCTACTTGTCTATCTGCCTAGGTTAGTAGCTTACGCACATGTTATACTAGGTATGTATGTATAATGTACGTCGATTCAAGGTTTCCATCGCCACGTGGGCTCGTGGCTACTAGGATAGCATGGGAAAGGAAAGGGATATGATGAGATAAGAGTTCTACGGATCTCGGATTCCGAGTTGAGTCCATCCATCACCCACGATAGTTTGGATGCTTGCTTGTTGGCTTGTCATCTACGTACGCTAGTAAGTATCATCATCGGCTCGCGGGCGAAGACCTCCGTCGGCCACGGAAATAACGGGATTGTTCACACCTCCGCCGAACCCATCCGCCATCGGGGGCAGCGGGTCGGCTGACCTTTTGGTAGGTAGGTATTGTGCAATACAATCCTCGCAATTTTTTGCCACACACTCTGTGAAACAACTTTTCGGGTTTTATATTACCTCCTCATCGAAAAGCACCGAGAGAGGTTGGGAAGGGGGTTGGTTTTTTTTTTTCGGATGAGATGGAAAGGTAGAGTAGAGTGGTGGAGGGCAGGTACATAATCTCGGTAGGTCGGGCTTTTCAGGTATGACTCTGCCAGGAACTGAGCTGAGCTGAGCTGAGTCACCTTTTGCGGCTCTTGGCGAGGAGCCGAGGTGAGATGTAACTATCATGTGGACCGATATAATGGTGTATCTACATCCATAATAACTAAGCGTCCATGTGAATATCTGTATCGGCCTCCAGTAGTTCTTGCGATATAGATCGGGCTGACCGGAGCTGTGGCACCATCGTGTAGGTGCCTTTCTGTTAGATGTATGTCCCAGCAGTATGGATCAGCTGCCGGGGGTCATATGTATATACCTGGGTAGGTATGTAGGTTAGGTGGTTATGCGGCGTACGGCTGTTTGATACTACCTAGTACCTCAGGGGTGTATGATATGGGAGTTATATATCATATCCCCTTTATACCCCCTAATATCGGTAGATGTGATGAGGTCACGAGATATAGCTTTCTCGGATCCCTGTATTCTTTGTTGATACTGAGGAAGCCAGGCTAGCTTACTGCTTTGGAAGCTTTGTCTTATAACTATACCTGTGTAAGTGTGTAGACTGGCTAGCCCTCTGTGCTGGGCACATGGGTACCTGGTAGTATAATACTATAATAGCTAGTATTTTGATATGTATGCTTTTTCGGCACTCAATGAAACCGAAATAATGATCGTGGTCCCAGACACATGCTCGTAGACTCGTTGTACATCAGCCGTACTTGTATTATCTGTTATGTAGCATGCCCATAAAGACCCTTGCGTTGGTATAAAACCACGAAGGTCAGTAGCTACCATGGTTAGATCTAGTGTCTAGGTAGCGCACCAGATACATAGTTTGGAACTACAATTGCCATCTCTATTCCCCTATAAGACTGTCTGTAATCGAGTAGATCGTCCAAGCCTACAATGGAAACAAACGACAAGTCTCTTTCCAGAAGCTCTTACTATGAGTTCCAGCAATGATCAAGCGGCGTGCTTCTACAACTGAGAGCCTAGAGATAACAGACTGTAACGGATAGTGATTGTACATCCCACGACCCTTGGGTGGCTTTACGTATGGAGAATAGGGGGAGTTTGAATGTCATACGCATGGCAGTGTCCTACATTGATATGCGGTATACCATACAATGACCATACGGCTTTAGCATAAGTACCCCATTACTACTTCTAACATACACTAATCGGCTGGATCAACTTAGTCTGGCAATAAGGGGTGGAGGTGAAATCCCTGTTTGGGTTCGATGATCGTGTGCTCCGAGACTAGTTTAATTGAGATGATATCAAGGTCACATAAGGAAAATCTATAAAGGGTAAACCACATACTACCTAGGTAGCTTGGAGTGTATGGCTATCAACAAATGTCAATCGACATCTCTGGTATTCTGTAGGATAACCGTCTATATGTGTGTACAATATAAACCCGTCTCCTAGAAATACAGGTGACCTATTTTGTTTTAGACGACCATGATACCATTCCCTTAGTCCTCATCCCAGTTGGGGTTCGGTCCTGGCGGCTTCGGCCCTCCAGCTTGTCTCGCTACAATGATCTGGTCTACGGAGAGCACCGTGCGTGCCGCTTCCGTCGCCAGTTTAATAGCCCAGGACTTGGTGACCATGAGGTCCATGATGCCGTTCTTCTTAGCATCTAGCGTGCCAGTGCCATCGTTGTTCTAAAGTAAGAATTTGTTAGCGGTGATCTCCAAGAGAAGGGTGATAAGTTTGATGATTGTCTCACTTCAATGTCGACACCAATAGTCCAGCCATCCTTCTTGTTGTGCGCTGTGTACAGTCTGCTCAGTACTTCTGTAGCATCTAGACCAGCACTTTCCGCTATCGTCCTGGCAACGACCTCGAATGCTTCACCATACTTTCGAATAGAATACTGGGGCAAGCCCGACGTCTTGTCGGCAAAAGCTTGTATTCTTCCCACCAACTGTAACTCTGTTGCACCTGCGCCAGGTACCAGCTGTGCATCACGGGTGATGGCCTTCACCACATTCACTCCGTCGTCTACTGCTCGCTCAACATCGTCGAGATGGTTTTGCGTAGCACCCCTGAGGACGATAGTTGCTGTCCTTGTAACCTCATCTTCCTGTCTGAACACTGTCACACGATCCCCACCAATTTCGAGGGTCTCCACCACGTCAACGGATCCCATTTCATCTGGCATAGGGGCGCCTAGTCTTGCAAGAGGCGTAGCACCGACGACTCGGCAGATTCGTCGTAGTTCAAACTTGCTCAGGATTTTGATGAAGAGGATACCATATCGGTTGAGGTAGTGCATGGCAAGCTCTCCTACAGTCGAGCCAGCAATCACGACCCTGAGACCGGCATCGTGAAGCTCCTTGATGGCAGCCTCCAGCTGAGATTCTTCGCCCGTAGTGAAGTCCATCATTTCCTTGGCGTTGTGTAGTAAGACGGTGCCCTTAGTCTCGGTCTGGCTGGTGTCGATCGGGCATGAGAAGACACCGACCTTGGCCTTGGTAGCCTTTTTGACAGATCCATCAGGTTCCTTAGGGAATACCATACCCTTGACCACCTTGCTCTGGTCCAGGCTTCCACCCATGATCTTGACTACTCGAATGTTGTCGACATTGAAGTTGGCTGGGTTCTTGGGAAGTACGGCAAGGACAGCCTCGGATACTAGTTGGGCTAGTGCGTCCTCGTTTCCGTTTTGCTTACTCGCCACGACTGTTCGGATTGCTTTGCTCAACTCGTCCTGGTTTCTGATGTCCTCTACCTTGTCCACGACAAGATCTTCCAAAGCTTCGAGGGCAAATGTTTGGGCGCGCTCGTAACCGGTGACTATATCGGCGGTTTTCAAGCCCATGCGGAGCAAATCCTCAGCCTTCTTCAGCAATTCACCAGCGAGAACGATGACGAGGTTGGTAGCATCGCCCATCTCGGCCTCTTGCTGCTGACTGGCCATAACTATGAGCTTGGCGGCGGGGTGAACGACATCAAGTTCCTTCAGGATAGTAGCAGCATCAGAAGTTAGGATCATCTTCTGTAGATGGTTGATGATGATTTTATTTCGGCCATAGGGTCCTAGGGAGGTTTGGACTGTCGAGGCAATAGCTCGGCAAGCGTCGATGTTTCGTAGTACAGCCCCATCTTCTGAATCGTAGCTATAGTAATATTGAATGTTAGAATTTGTTTTTGTTCTCAATCTCGCTTCTTTCCTCAGTCGTGGTCATGATAATGGCCAAGGTCAAGGTTACGGTCAATGGCGGGGGAGTTGAGGAGGGTAAATATTTACTTATTATAGCCTCCCTTGAACAGGCCAGCGTTGGGAGCGCTGGGAATATTAAGGGACATATTTTCTTATATCTTCGTACAATGATCTTATTATTGTTTGCCGATTTTAGAAGACCTATAAATCAAGATCAAGTAAGAATAGGTAAGGAACGAATATGTTTTTTGGTGGGACAAAGTAGAGTGTCGATAGTGATAGAACTTAGAAGCTCCCGCAAAGGAAAAAAGATTAGTGGGGCTCCAGTTAGTTAATCAAAGCCTGCTAATAAAGTTGATTAGAGGGGGCATCCAAAGCCAATAGGGTAGCCTTGCAGCTGCCTTGCAGTATTGAATATTCAATTTAACTTACTAGTTATGTACATGTACTTCGTACTGCGTATGAGCCGATTATGTAAGTGCATGCCTAAGGTGCATATGATACTTAGGTACTTACTAGGAACTAAACCCAGGCCCTTGTTGAGCATTTGATAATTGAATGTCGGCGCTAGAACGTTCAATCTCTCTCTTCCTTCTTATCACTACGCTACTGAGGTTAGCTATTATCGCCAACCTCACTACCACCACCAACACATTTGGTATTTACCACATACCAGTCATCTCAAATCTTTCCAGGGCCATTCAAGGTCAATCCCCCTTCGAAATCAAGTGTCATTTAGTCCTTAACAGACACTGAATCTCTCAGGTTTGCTGTCAATCGCGTTTATCTTGCTTGTGTCTCACGGCGACGCGACTGTCGTCGCACTTCATTGTGAACATGGCTCCTCAAAACGGTACGTCTGATTTTTGATCACGATGAATAGACGGAGTCTTTGCCTCGAGATTCTAGTGCTACAAGTCGATTTCCAGACCATTGCTCCCTACCTTTCCTGTTGCTTTCCTAGAAACCAAAATCTTTTCCTCATCACAATTTTCTTCTTCCTTCAATACCAAGCTCTATGTCAACAATCAGCAACCTACAATCTAAAGATGGCGCCTCCTCCTCTGCCCCTCCGTCCTCACGGAAGAAGCTACGCATTCGCCTTGTTGGAACGCCTAAACGAGGCTCTCACGTAGTTCCTGGCGGAGCTCCCGTCGGTATTGATGAAGTAAATCGAGAATTGGCCGATGTATCTTTTTATGCTGAGTTGCGTTCGGCATTCGGCAAGGCTACTGATTCTAATGTCAAGGACCCTGCCGATGGGTCTGGTTCGATCGCACAAGTCATACTACACAGTAAAGAGAAAGCTAACTAACAATTGTATTTTAACAGCAAACCCACCTTCCCTCCCTCCTACCGTGGAGGAGGCGTACCGTCGCAAGTGTATCCAATTGAAGGCGCGCACCAAGGAGATTCAAGAGGAGGCCGAAGCCTATCATTTACGACTTGGCCGACTCGAACGTCAGGTCCAGAAAATGCGTCTCGAGCGCGCTTTTCTTCTAGAACAGATTGCTAAGCGCACAAGCACCAATGTCGAGGATTCTGACGGTAGTCCCAGTCCCCCACCTACTGTATGTACTGAGTCCACTAGCTGTACCAGAAATTGTATCTAATCACATGCCAGCCCAAGGACAAGCCTCTGCGAACCAAGCGCGGCCACCGGAAGCCTTCGTTGCTCCATGCCTCTGAGCCCGGCGGTGGCAGCAACGCGACTTTCATTAACCAGAACCTGAACACTCTCTCTCCGAGCTCCGATGCATTCTCGCACTCCCAGTTGGATACACAGAAAGACCATGGCCGAGGTGGTATGAATGGTGTGATCAAACGACCCAAGCGACCGAGCAATGCTTTCGAGATCTACTGCAATGATACCCGACCTGTCCTCCAATCTCAGTACAAGGATAAGATTGCGGCAGGCGAGTTCCGACTCGAAGAGGAGCTTGCGCGAGGTTGGAAGGACCTGCCCGAGAAAGAGAAGGAGGAGTTCCAGGTCCGCTACGAGCAAGAGCTGGCCCAGTATAAGGAGGCTGTCGAGGAATATAAGCGTGGCACCAAGGGCGATGCTACTCGCGATCGTTCGCGCGCCCGCGGTGACCGAGACAATGCCAGTAGTCGTGCTAGCCGTGGAGGCGGAGGATCACGCTCTGCCCGTTTCGAGGATGCCCAAGATGACGAGGAAGCCGACGAAGACCAGGACATTGAGATGGCGGATGCCGGGGCTGCTGACCAGGACACGGATCCCGAAACTGAAGTCGAAGAGAATGATGGAGCTGGTGACGATTAGGCGGTTTCTTTTCTTGCACGAAATCGACGCGATGCGATTCAATGCGATCCGATGCAACTAATGGCGTTTTACGGTATTACGGGATACTAGCACTTTTTGCTAGCACTTTGCATTTTGCGTCTACGTTTGTACTATTACTGCCTAACCCATAATCGAGGAACCACAGGGCTTTGACTAGGTGGTTTGGAAGGGATAAGGGGCTAGGGAAGAAAAAAACACAGGAAGCTGGAGTCATGATAGGTAACTTAACTGGAAGTTAGTTAGTCCTCTCTCCCCACCCTTTTCAGAGAAGGAGTGTGCCGGTTTAGATGAAGACTACCTTATTCAGCACGCAACGCATATGAATACAAAGAACAAAGTTTTCCTCATTACTACACTGGTGCCATGGTTATTAGTGATCGATTCCACCTAATTAAGTATCTGCCTAGGCTGCTGATAAGTATATAGGCTCGTGATGAATATGTTCTACATGTCTATTGTGTTTCCTGTATCGTGGAATCTTTTCTACTTTCTCTTCCCAGCACTGTAGTCACATAGTACCTATAATCAACATGGAGTAAATCCATGCTGCAAACGACCATAGTATAAGAGAAGGATATGTACTGTAAGTATGGATATATTCGGAGTAGTTATTAAGTAGCCTCGCCGCGATAACTGCTAGGTATCCTAGGTAGGTATCCATATATGTACATGGTAGGTTCTAGGTATTAGATAGATGGATAGATACATACATACATACGTGCATGAGTTTCAACGTCTTGCCTGGGTAACTATTAGGCAGGCATCAATGCAGGAAAGAACTGTTATTCTATCGCAGCTAAATAAAAACATAATATACGCCCGCGCTTGCGCCTATGCTCATGCCTGCTAACCCGAACACCTTTTTCGTGTATCTTTTTTCCTCCTTGTCCAGAAAGGTTGGTGGTGGGTTGGGGAGAGAGATATTTCATTCATTTTGGGGTAGTTTGGAAGTAATAAGGGGGGGTGTGGGTAGGTAGAGATATATTAAGAATGAATTGGTAGTATGATGGGATTAGGTAGGTAGGTAGGTAGGGAAAGGGGAAACCCATTGTTAATCCACGCCTGCGTACAGGTCGACGACAATATTGACGGCTGCGACTAGGATCTCGGCGGCGATAAGTACGATGACTAGGTAATAGGAAAGTTAGCTAGGCTGCTTTTTTTGATATCGCCTACAAGAGTAAACAAGATGCTGATATATAGATGGGGGGGGGCTTACCGATCCACTCCAACTTCTCTCCATGGCCATGGCTTAACTGATCTTTGAGCACCGCTAAAAGATCCGCAATAACATCGAGTCGCTCGGTGAGCAAGCCCACACGCTGATCCATCTCCAAATAGCTCCGGACGGCCTGGTAGACGGGCTCGAGATGCGGCTCGACCCAGAACAGCTCGGGGGTATCGAGTACGGAGCCGTTGAGGTGAATATTGATACGTAAGATGAACAACTCGCCGATCTGCATGTTGATCTGGGAACGCGACAGCGCGATCTTGCCTGTCAGAGCAATCTGCGTGGGGATGTCTTTGCATGTATCGACCGTTGTGGCGATAAGCTCCTCGAAGAGGGAGGTCTGTGGGCAATGGTTTGATTAGTTGAGTCATCAGGGTGAGATTCGAAGATGTGTAAAGGATTGATTATAAGTAGGAAAAGGGGCAAGACATACCTTGACACTTTGCGCCAGCGCATGCGAAATAGCAAGTTTCGTCATGTAGTTCCCCTTATCCCTTAGCGTAATGAAATCGTTGTATATACGAGGCTGGTACTCCTTGGTATAGTAGAAATTAAAGCACTCTGTTTCCACGTCGTCGGTCTCCAGCTTCTCAAGCTCGAATTTGGCTATGTCCTTCAGAAAACGCTGTTCATGTGCGGGCGACATGCCCCATATTACTACCACACCATAGTCGAACAAGAATACCTCGGGAGTGTGGACTTGAATATCGAAGTTAGCGTCGTGTGCTTGATGCTCTGAATGTGAGCCTGAATCAAGGAGTGCGCTCTCATCTTCCGGGTGCGATGGATAGGCCAAATCGTTATGGATATCCCGGCCGTTGCTGAATTCGGCATCCGAAGTTCCATCTTGTTGCTGAGAATGTAGATTATGCATGCTCTCCCTTAGATATGTTTCTGAGTGCTCGTCTACTTGACCCGTTGAGTGCCTCCTTTCGAATGTCTGAGTTGGCCTCTCCCGTATCTCTTCAACTACCTCGGTCCGTTCGGTCGACTTCCCAGTCGCGTAATTGTATGGTGAATAGATACACTCGTCAATGAGCTTGGGGTTCGTTCCGCGGTTCTTGCCTCTGCCTTTCAGGAAACGCATTAGGCCGTCCATTTGATACCTGTTAGCAGTACAGTAGGCCGTTACACGGGGTAACCGATCACGATCTGCTTTGCCTAGCCTTGCAGCATCCCGCCTAGCCGTTGGGTCTTTTATGCGCGTATATTGGGAGTAAACATCCCTTCCACTCTCTTCGTCCGGTTCTTCCTCGTCGAGTTCAGGATTTGGCAGAAGCTTTAGCTTCTGAGCATTTTTAGAACTTCGCTGAGGCCCGATCTTGGGGATAGGGCCAACAGCGGGTGGGAGAGCGGTGAAGACGGCGCCGTGGCTGTTACGTCGACGCAAACGGTTATTCAGAGTTGAAAGAATAGGAGGTGGGCCAGAGTGACTGCTTCCCGAGGCTACGGAACTTGTCATGCGCCCATGATTAAGAGTGTTGATGGTGCTAGGTGACGAGCTAAGAGGAGAGGGATCAGGATCGATAGTCCTTGTTACGGGGTTCGGGTTGAAGGTTACGTTGCGCGCACTCCTAGGACGAGCGGTATCCTGTCGCAAGAGGGGAGTTCGCTCGGTAGACGTGCCGGCAGAACTTGTTGATGGTCTTGGTGAGGTATCCATCATGAAATCTCGTTACAACTCAGCTCAATAGACGAGCAAACGCTGGATCGCTACGGCAAGCAACTGGTTACTGGCTGGTTACTGGTGACGTGACAATGGCTTTGTGTCTCGCGTTACTGTGTTTCATGCGAGACCAAATTTCATAAAGATGTTTCAATTGAAAGCATTCGTGTTTCTCCGTAATATTCTTGAGTGGATGGCAAGTAAGTTACGCTTATAAGTGATAACTCTAGCCAGTTGTCTTATGAGATTGAAAATCTATAGTGTGTATGCAAAGCCTAGAAATTCTATGTAGGGACTAAAAATAAAAAGATTGATGTTTTGAGCTTAGAGCTTGTCATGTCTAATGACGTTAGGTAAATTGCGCTAACGGCTTGCTTAGCGGGAACAAGGGGGAAGGGTTGAAAAAAAAAAAAAAAAAAAAGGTTAACAACGGCTCGGCCTGTCGGCGTTGATCCACCCACTTGCCTTGCATGCATTAACTAATTGTAGGAGAAACCGGGAAGCTGAACTTCAAGTTACTCATAAATGCATACTTCGTGTATTATTATGTACATAAATGATATAAGGTACTTATACTAGAATTAACGATTAAGGCATCAACATCAACATAACACTCCCTTCTCCCATTCAACTTCAAAAAGTCGTTATCAGATCCAAGGCTGGATGTAGTGGCTTTGGAAGTCCCCAACCTAGCCAGGTAGTTTGGTATGACTCCCCATAAGCTCCCCACTACCCACTATACATTTCCTGCTTCTCCTTTCATTACTGCATCTCAGCCCCTTTTTCCATTTCCCGAAGCCCAAGGTCGGGAGGTTGGCATTATCACTAAGAAAACAACCGTTACTCCAATCGGAAATATCATAAAACTCGAGTGAATCGTTCTCTCTCATGCGTCAATGACCATCGTCTCGATTTTGAAGCCTGCTTCGCCGGTACGGTCGACGTAACCCTGGCCGAGACATGCAGGTGTATACACACCGCCTGGAAGTTTGATATCATCTTGTAGTATCGTACAAGCGGCTTGACTAACAAGCAGTGCAGTGACTATAACGCATATGTTAGATCAATACATCTCATTGACTACGTTTGCAAGGCACTCGGAGTACTCACGGCCATAGTTGCCACCGGCGTATTCAGCCTTGGCCCATACTTGCTTGCCGGTCTTCAGTTGAATATCGGGAGTTGCGAGTCCCTGAAATTGGACGTACTCCTTTGCCTGGTCTTCCTTGCTCGGACCTTCACCAGGTTGTGAGACAAACTTGCGCAGCATTTTTCGGAATGGCGGGCAGAACAAGATCAGAAGACGTCCAATCATAAAGCTATAATGCATCACCACGCCTCTTACGGGATTCTTAACCTTGGCGAATTCCCGATACGTGAAGTTTGGTCCGTAAGATTGCTTTTGTAAGGACGGCTCTTGGTTGAATAGGCCCCACGTACGATGTACGACGGCCGAGTTCGTACCTGAGGTCAAGGATGTCGCTAAGAGGCCAAGATTGTGAACCGGGTACAAGCCTGTCAACTTTGAAAGTAATGATGGTTTGGGTGTCTTTTTTGGGTTAGGAATAGGAGACATATTGTACGGAACATGGGACTTGGCGATCTCCTTCCAATGGAAAGCGTCGCAGAGTGAAAGCACTGTAGCAAGAGTACCACCCGAAGGTGCGCCACTGCATCATGTTAGCATTCCGCCTGCCGAATCATTCACAGTGAAAGCATACCGTATCTCATGAACTTCAACTATAACGTCACCGATTGGAGCCGAGAATTCGGTCTTGATGCGGGACGCCATGGCGAAGGTAATAAGGTCCGACGTCGCGGATTCCATAGCGGATTGTGGAAACAAGCAAGCACCTGTAGCTCTCGCTACTGCCTCATACTTTTCAATCATGGAACTGTGCCAGACAGCTTCGCCCGTGCAGTCGAAGTAATGTGTTCCGGCTTCTGCGCAAGCCTTGAAAGCATATTCTCCGTATAAGGAGAAAGGGCCGACTGTCGTAATGAATGCAAATGTCTTCTTGGCCAGAGCACCGAGTTCTGTATGGTTGAGGCTGCATATTTCAATTTCAGGAGACTGGCGATCAGGGTTGAGAGCCTTGCATTCGTCGATGACATTTTGGAGCTTTGCTGCAGACCGGCCAGCAATGGCCCATTTCAGGTCTGTTGGGAAGTGAGTTGTGATGTGCTCAGCAACAAACTTTCCAGTATAGCCTATCCTGAGGTTAGTACTTGAATATGCTACCTCCATATCTTGCATATTAGCCATGGGCACTTACCAGTTACGCCGAATACTACCAGATCATACTGGCGGGAGTGTTGTTTGAACGACATTATGATTTGCTTGAAAATAGGTATTATGTAGCTTTGTACGTAGTAGTACACGGGTATTGTAAGTGAGTCTACTGCCTCCTGGGTAGTATAGTAGGTATGCTTGTGAGTATGTGGTGATGGATAAGATGAAGCAAGAGGACGTATACGTTCTACCCTTAACTTCGGCACACACACACACGCTTAATGCTGAATGCTTAATGCTTAATGTATGTATGGTTTGAATAGGCGAATATACTTGAAAAAGTAAAGACACAAAGCAGGCTTAGAGGAAGATTTGATTCGACCTCTATAGGAATATATATACAAAAGATAGAAAATACAGAAATTTCGTAAATGCGGAACAGTGGCGTTTGATAGCTGTTATGCGAGGTGTATTATTCCTTGATATCTTTGTCCCCTCCCCATCTCGGCATCGGCATTGAAAATTAAGATCCATGGATGCCTAGGTAGATTATCAGGAGGCTTCGGGAGGCGGTGGTGATGGGAGCGCAGTTCTAGCTGCGAAAGGAATCAAGACCGAGTCAAGACGGTGCATGCCTCCATTGCCTCGGCTTCATATCTCCAAAAGAAAGAGTAGCTCCGTTGTTTCGTGAATGTCAATCCGGTAGAAGAGCCCGTAGGTTTCGGGTTGTGCCTGGAATAGTTTAGTGTAAAAGATGATCACCACAAGGATCTTCCGTGCCACCAATGCCACCATAGTAGTACCATAGTACCTGTAGTAGCCAAACGGCCCAAACCAGATAAGCCAATGAGACTACTAGGTAGCTACTTAAATGTCCGTGCTCAAACGGATCAATTCCCTCAAGGTTAAGAAAGGTCACCTGACTTGATCCTTTAAGTAGTTACTTCGTAACTTTAAGCCTTTATCCTTTGAACTGAAAGAAGGTGGTCCAAGCTCTTATAATTCTCGCTTAAGCACCCTAGGCGGGTCCACCAGTCTTCCCTTTTTTTCATTTTTTTTTAAACTTGTGTGGTGTAAAATCGAAATTGTGAGCCTAACAGCCCGCAAGCTTGCAGTAATCAATTTTCGAATTGAAGACCAAACCTCCCAACAACAACCGAACCCACGAACCACGCACCCTTCCATCGTCATCCACCACTTTGACTTGACGAAAAAAACACCTCACATTCTTCAGACAATATGACGAAGCGCACGAAGAAGGTCGGTGTTACCGGCAAGTACGGTGTCAGGTTAGTACCCCCATTTCCATTTCCATTCTCATCTTCATTTCAATCATTTCTTGCGCATCTTACTCGAATATCTCGACGTTGTTCGGCCTTTGCTAGCAGTGGGGAAAATAATATGTTCAAACGAGACAAGTTGCAATTGCCTAGCATGGAAATAATATGCCCAGGGCGTGATTGTCTTCATTATGGGGTATTTGCGAAATGATAACTAACAACGATACCCTCAAATAGATATGGTGCCTCCCTCCGAAAGCAAGTCAAGAAGATGGAAATCACACAACACGCCAAGTACACTTGCACATTCTGCGGAAAGGTTACCGTGAAGCGTCACTCCGTCGGTATCTGGAACTGCAAGTCGTGTGGAAAGACCGTTGCCGGAGGAGCCTACACCGTCTCGTACGTTGAACTACAAACCCCGCCCTCTATACAATTTGAGCTGGGAGATGATAGGAGGTTGATACTAACTCTTCATGCTGTAGTACCGCTGCCGCCGCCGCCATGCGATCAACACTGCGACGACTGAGGGAAATCCAGGAGGTTTAGACATAGGGCGAAGGATGGAACGGGTGTTTTCTTTGCATTTGGCTTCGGTGTACAGGAAAACGGATTTTTCTACGCAAACCATGAAGGGTCATGACGACGATCGATGAGTTCCGAGGTCAGCATCGATTAAAGATCGCCTACAGGACCATCGATCACATACCAAATGCCAACAAGAATTACTATGAACAAATCTTTTGGGCTCGCTAGAGTCGCAATACACGGCCTGGTCTTAACATTATGCTATTACGTGAAATCTGTTTTAAATACCCCTTTTCAAGGTCCTGCTGTAGACCTGGTCGCTCGAACACGCGATTTTTGAGTCATCGATTTGACTCACACGAGAGAAGGAGTCATTGACGAATATCATCGTTCGAGTTTACTTCTCCTAAACGCAGGCGCTCTATATCGCTCGTTATGTTATACAGCTTTGCTCAACTTTGTATCTAAGGATACGCAAGGGAGAGAAAACCTAGGACATCCATGGATGTGTAACATTGTGATATTAAGTGCCTATACAAAATGGGCTTGTGGGCTTGGGATCTCATGCCTTTGCTGATACTCCTGAACGTTGAGACTCAATAGTCCTCGTGAAAGTGTGTCAACGTCGTTTACCTACATGGGTAGGTGGGTAGTCATCTACGAAGTAAGTGAGTCATCTAGCGCCGCCCAGTAGATTTGTTCCATGAACAAGTATCTGCGTTCACACTTACTCCAAGGCAAAGTCTTTGAGGGAAGTCAAGAAAAATATCAATTCGGAGTCAGTCATTATCTTGTTGAATTCGTCCAAGCTGAAAATGTTTGGCGAATTCAAGTGGACTCCTCATAATTATTATTAAAAAAAAAAAAGGGTGTATCCAATTACTCCGGGATTTGCGCCTCCATCGCAATAGGCTATCAACCCCGGCATAACTTACTCGGTTCCTCCCATCGCGCACGACCTCTATCTGGGATATCTGGCGATAGAGGTACCGACATTGGTCGTTACCGACACTTTCCAAGTAGACATATCCTCGCTAGCTTCTGGGCTGTACCTGGATTTATTTCCTCATCCGGCAAAATACAGATCCTGTGGGACACGCTCGGGAAACGCCCACTCTTTGATTTCAGGTCATGTATGATGTATGTATAGCATGTTATCATGACTAGAAGGTCTGGGCTTTGAAGCTTCTCCGATTATAAAGACAAGGCCATCGTAACTGACCCCTATATACCCCGGGAAAGAGATAGGTATAGGCAGGCTGGCAAGTAGGTGGCAGGTAGGCAACTGAATTGTCGGTTTTGATATACATAGTAGGCGAGTGGGTAAGCACTACACTGCAGCATAACATTTACGAGTGGATGTTGGAGATAACGCGTTTAAGGCACTATGTAGGTATGCTCCTTTACCAGCTCTACTCCTCAAGGACTTGCTGACAATCGGAGCATCGAGTGTAAGGAATACCGCTGCATTAGCCGCATTATAGTAGGTACAATATGTACGTGAAACGTATGGTTTTCTTACTAACGACGGAATATACTCATCCTTTCTATACCCGCTTTAGGTTAGGAATATACGCGTGCAGGCAAGAAAGGTGACAGGCAAGGTGGAAGAGGAACCCTGTTGGCACCCTATGAAACTGGACTGGATTAGCATTAGAGATTGAATCGCCCTGTGCCTTGCCTAGGCACAGCACATTGCGTTTATCACCAATGAACTTCAATGTTGCATTACCTACCTGGTACTGTAGTTACCAGACAGCTAATACAACATACTGAATTTGTATGTACTCAACAGCCTGCCTGCTACGTACTTACAACGTACATACTGCCTAATGTACTACCACCACCGAAGAAGTGAGCAACACTGGCTATTTTCGGTATCGCAAGGTAGGGGGCTTATAGCCCTGTCTTATGATTACGATCGTAAAGGTCGGATTTAGACGTCGAGTTTGGAATGACGTACCTAAGTTGTTCGTATCTGGGTATTGTACATCGGCATCTATCTCCAAAGATGTCTAATGTACATAGACTCGCCTCGGACTAAAAATGGCAAGTCTCTATTCTTTGGTCACTCGGGTATTCTTAACATTGAACATTTCTACGTGGGTACTGTATGGAGGTATGCAAGGGGTCAGCTACATCGATACTAGGCATCATACATCTAACGGACTCTAGCCTACATACATACATATCACACATGCGTATGTAAGTTGATTCTTAGTTGAAGCTGGCTTACCTACATGTATGTACCTGCCAGGTATGTATGACTACATAAGCATTATAGTCACCAAATCCGATCACCCCTCTTATGATACCACATGCGCCGACTAATATGCATGAATGTAACTATTCTTACGAAGCTAGTGTAGCTGTAACTACATGTATGTAAATGTCTTAAATATCCCTCTATGAATAACGTTCAACTTGTTCAAGTACATACAAATATACATAAATGTCATACAGACTCATACTGCGTACAATGCGCCGTACATGCCTACCTAGGTACCTATGCACAGCGATTGGTGGCTTCGACATTTGAAGTTTGTTTTATACACCAGACACAGCAATGCCTGTGTACTACATAGTACTAGGTAGTACACAGTGTCTTTTCCAAGATACATATATGTAGTTACAAGGGTGCTAATTATAATATTTCCGCAGTATTTCTAGAAGCCCTTGAAGGACTTTTTATCAATATTGAAAGTCGCAAACTGGCTGTACTTATGTATGCCTAGAACTCCACATTGAAAGTGTTCCGCCGGGTTACGAGATTTGTACCGTATCTATCTACATATAGGGTAGGTATAAAGAAGTACCCGCCTAAAGAAGTTTGGAACGTGAACATTGAATGAACATTGAAAAATGGAATACATAAACTAACTACCAGGTACTACATAGTACATGTAGGTTAGGTTAACTAGCTAGGTTAGGTACCTTACTACCTACCCTAGGTACATAGGAAACCTTGAACTTCTGAAGATCAAAGGTGACAAGGTCAAGGGGTCAGTTGGCGTCAGCTGATTGGGTCCGGCACAAATCCGCTCTGGCAAGCCTAAAGGAGGCGCTAACCTCGTCAAATTCCCCTATGCTTCCCTATGCTTTTTGTGCTACATAGTGCTACACATGCAATCTTCGTGCTTTTTCTTGTCACCACCCTAAAGGCAAAGGCCCCTCCATTTGTTACCCTTTTTATGACTTTACGACTTTCATCATTGCCAAACCTTGAACCATCCACCCACACCATCCACCCGCAACCTTGGAGACCAACTTTAGTCCACCACCCGTCCAGCCCACCCTACTACGCAGTAGTAGTAGTTAGGCACTGTACGTATTGTACCATACAACACCTTTGAACACTTCTTGAAGTTGATTGTTTCGTTGATGGGTTGATAGTATTTTGCTACTCTTAATTTATAACGAATAAAAAAGTTACGACTTCTTTTTTCTTTCTCCAAAAATCAGAATCATACCAAACATCGATTACCATCTATTATTTATCACCTGGGCTGGCTGTTGCCTTTTTGTCCCTTTTTTTTTTTTTTTTTTTTTTCCATATTGGAGAGCCAGGTGATTTGAGCTTGGTGCACAAGAGGGTACATGCATAGTAGGCGTGTGCCGTGCGGTACCTATTTATACTGTACAATACCTAGTACAAGACCAGATCCGCCACATCGCACTGCACCTGCCACTGTCACTGCCACTGTCAATTACTGTCATTGTTCAGGTGCCCAGTGCACACTTTCCCACTGTTCTCAAGCACTGGGATAATCGGATTGGCGTTGCTTATACTACCCTCAGTACAGTAGGTAGCAGTGGACAAAGCTCGGCAGAACCGACCAACCCGGCGATTTCTTCTCCAGAATTTAGACAACCCAAAAACCATACCCTTGCCTTCGAAGCTCTCCGGAATCGACTCTTTTTTTAAAAACCAAAACTATCACTAGTAACATTCTGGAAGTGGGAAGTTTTGAAGCAACTTGAACAAACTTGGCCTATGTACCCTACCTAACCCTCTCCAATTAACGCCAACGCAACGCACGCGCAACCATATGCACCCGCACCACTCAAACATTGAACTACCTATCTTGTACACAATCTTTGTACACAGTAGTTCCGTCTATCCCATATTACCATATTCCCAATATCCTCATATCCTCATATTCCATATTCCATATTCCATATCCCATATCTCATATCCCAAATTATTCCTTCCTTTTAACTCATTTATCTCATTTACACATCTATCAAAACTTAACTTTTCAACTCTTTTCATTTCCCAATTCACCCCCTCAAGAATTCAAGAGTTAATAATTTATTAACTCCCACCCACATGCACCTTATCATCCATCATCAACCCACTCCACGTCTATAACTCCCTCGCAATACTATTCGGTTGCCCACCTAACCATACCCACCATCCACCATCTATCCGTCTATCCATCTTAACCCATCTTAACCAACCGGTTGCTAACCAGTTTATTCACGACAACGAATTAAACCACCACCACAACCACCACCACTTTACCAAGACAGATTTGCTGCTTTAATTCGAACGCAGCAAATCTTAAAAAGACAGACTTACATAAAGTCACTTATATGTTGTATTCTCAACATCGACAATCCATGAAAATCTGCCCTGATGGCTGATCAATGTATTGTTTGTCTAGACAATCTAGACGCCCAATCACCGCCGCCTTCGCAGCTGCATATATCTGAGGACGCAGAAGAGTTATTACAAAGCACCATTACTTCGTCTGAACCCGCGCCCGCAGTTGCAGTTGCAGTTGCAGATGCACCACCACAACTATCGTCAAAATCCCCACTTGTCGACGTCACAGCCGTTGTCAATCATGACGAGGAAGACCAAGACAGCAAAATTGCTGTAATTGAAGTTTGTGGTCATGCTTTACATGATGCTTGCCTACGAGAATGGATTGGAAAGGCAAACAGCTGTCCCATCTGCCGCCAAGCTTTCCACTTGGTGCACGTCTACGATAAAATTGGAGGTAAGTTTAAATACATCGTTGTACAGTGGTTGCACATCCTCCAGATGTCGTGATTAGGTTGCTAATCTTGTTTCTTCTTCTATTAGGTACCCAATTGTCCTCTTACAAGGTAGAGGACAAGAAGCAAGTCGCCGAATTCGATCCTCAGGCATGGCTAGACGACAATCCCGAAGATGAGGGGCAGTCTAGGCCTTGCCCCATCTGCGACCGAGCAGATCATGAAGATGTCCTCCTCCTCTGCGATAGCTGCGATGCACCATATCATACATACTGCATTGGCCTTGACGATGTCCCTCGAGGGCATTGGTTCTGCCTAGAATGCACCGATACCGGTGCAGAGTTCCTCTCCACGGAGTTCTTCGGTGTCGACGCATCAGAAATTAGCTTTTCCAATGGACATTCTAGCTATTTGCCGCGCACCCAAGCTACGATGCGACGGGCTAGGCAGCAGGCTCGCTCAAATGATTGGCAAGGTGCCTGGGGTCAAATTGCAGGTCGAATCTGGGATGCGTTAGACCTGGACCTAGATAACCATGACGACGACGAAGCTTTGCGAACCTACAGAAGATCACAGCAGCGAAGGGAAAGGGAACGACGCGAATATCAAAGATGGCAACAACGTCTTAATATCGCTGGTCGTTTTGGCGCCCGTGATGTGTTCGCACATAACCTCACAAGTGTTCTTCCGCAACGTGTCGCGCAACGACCAGCACCACCCCCTCCGCCTCAAGAAACTCCCGAGGAGAGACATGCTTGGGGCGCGTTGGAGAGAGCGATGGAGGCTACTAACCCCCACCACTCAACTCCAAATCAAAGAAAGCGAAAGTCTCGTTCAGCCACTACATCTCCGGCTGAGCCATCTGAGCAACCGGAGCGCAAGCTCAAGCGGCCGCGAACTAGACGAGCGCCTACTATAGGCGAAGCGTCAACATCTACGGGGCGCCCTGCAGAAACTAGTCAACCTACAGAAGATGCACTTAGTCCTACCCTCACCCCGACTCGGCCAAGCAATGGTAATGCTCCATCGTTCCTCTCTTCGTTGCTGAAGGAGGTCGAAATGAGCGCACCCTCCGACGACGAGAATGTCCGTACAATCTTCAACGTGCCTAGGTCTGGGGTGGATCCTTCGTCGCCTGCTTCTTCCCCATCTCCTTCAGCCCATAGCAGTCCACGGGCTCTCTCTACTACGCCGCCGCCACGAGGAATAAATGATCGTCCGGGCTCGCCTCTCTCCTTGAGCTCGCATATCGAGCCGGTCTATCCACCTGCCAACTTCTTAGCAATCCGAAGTAATGGTGATGGTAGCGATTCCGAATCGAGACCACGGCAGCACACAAATCATCATCGGAATAACGGAACGAGTAGTAACACTCCCGAGCTTCAGCAGCCGCGTCCTCGGCGTCAAAATTCAGCAGCTATCCATAGTTATCTAAAACGCCCTAACAAAGAGTCCTCGCCTACACGTCCGGTATTGCCGTTCGAGATGAAAGAGAGCATAAGCGGTATTGTTAAGGACGCGCTTAAACCCCACTGGAAATCTGGACATATAACGGCAGATCAATACGCGTCTATTAATCGCGACCTGAGTCATAAGCTGTATAAGGAGGTTTCAGACGACTCTTTGAACAACGATGCCCGCCAACGATTTGAGAAGATCGCCATGACGGAAGTGGCAAGAGCGGTTGCGGATCTCAAGGCATAAAACATCTCAGCCCGCCATCATTTCTTTGACACGACACACGAGAACAAATATGCACGGAGATTGGGCTTTTTTTTTCTGGCGTTTCACGGCTAACTGGGCATCATTGGAAGTTTCGGGTGACCTATAGAGCCATTGATCTTGACAAGATACCCATAACGCGGACTACTCTGTTTTATCTCTTGAGGCGGTTGATTCTCAAGCCGCATTGAGTTCTTTTTTTTCTTCTCGCATACCTGGCGGCGTTTGACATGGGGCGAACAAGGACATCGTCTTTCCGTTTAGATGTACGGATGGATACAGCATGCACAGGGGTATAGCCTAAGCTTATATTCTAAGGTAGGAGCCTTTTGAAAAGAAGGCGTTTCTATGGGAGTTTCACATTGCTAAGGCACTTTTGATATTTTGGGGGGGAAGTAGGAGGGAGGAGGAGGCGGTGGTGGAAGAGGAGGTGTATACGTTTAGCATTAGATTGGGGGACGAACAGGGCTTGGGAATCGATAGTCAGCATCGCATGACTTAATGAGTCTTGTATGTCCTCGGAATTTAATTTGCTCCTTATGACCTGCTTCCCTCGTGATGAATATCCTGTGCAAACTTGGGCACTTTTAATTTTATTACGTTAAATCCCTTAAGAAAACTGGAAGCATGCTTACGTATGTACCCTAGGTTAGGTATTCACCTTATTGAAATGAGATGGGTAATTCTGCAACAAGTGTTATCAAGTTTCGGTCAGTGAGGAAGAATCAGGATAATTCAAGATTTCGTCTACAGAGCCTAGGATTGTACCTAGGGTAAGTACATAACCTTGAGGGCCAGCCCGGCCAGGCCAGGCAGGTTAGTTAATAACCTTAACATTGAACCAGGTGCTTGAGCCACGATAGCCAAGCCACTAAAGATTAGAATTGAGCCACGTGCAATGCACACGCATCAGCCTCATTCTAGCCCTGTCATGGACCCACCTTTTAACACCTACACTTACATTACTAGATTTTTTTTTTTTCAGTCTTCTTTTTTTTTTCTTTTCTCCTTTCTTCTTCCTTCAACCAAGGCACCATTCCTTATCATCAGACTTTCCCAACGGGAATCTTTTCTTCTGTTCTAGATAAAAAGATTCCCAACCCCGTGAGCGCTTCTGACCATTTACGTGTGCCGAGAAGGGCATAGCAGCCTTTTTTTCGCTAGCAGTACCTGCAATTAAAAATTAACTCACTGGGTTCGCTGTTAGATAGTTGCTGCTGACATGACTTTGACTTTGACTTTGACTTTGAATTGAGATGGGGTTGCTTGATTGGGGAGGGAGACAGAGAGGGGAGAGAAGATGACAGGGAGGAGAGATGGTAGGGAGAGAGGAGGACGAGGAAGTGCTATGAGTACTATCGTCGTGGCTGGCCGCCGTTGGGATGGATCTCTAGGAACAGAGGGAGGGGCTTTGTATCCTGGGATTCAGGGACGGATAATATATAATTGCAACGGTGTGTAGAGTAAAGCACCATGGGCGGTTTAATGAATAGTTAAGCGCCTAGATAGCTATGAATACAGGTCAATCCTTACTTTGAAAACACTCAATTTTTTACAATATTAGCATCTATGTTACTGAATTGCCCCGAGACGAACAATATAATCACAAATATCGTAGTGTCTTGCCGTGACCTATTAATGGAGCGTCGTCTATGAGATGGCTAGAACTATGGCAAACGACGTATAAACTCGATACAACATACATACGGCAGAGAGTTATGCCACACCTAGAGCTATTTTCCTCTATAATCTCTTAAGACTCGAAGCAAAAAAGAAAATTTGAAGCAGAAAGAAAAAAGAAGAAAAAAGGATGCGGTTGGTGTGGATCGAACACACGGCTTTCAGATTTGATGAATGAAGTTTTTTCATACCTAGGTAGGCTTCAGTCTGACACTCTCCCAGCTGAGTTACACCCGCTTTCGATGGAGGCTATCGTGGTCTAAGCAAACATATATACCTAGGTCAGTAGTTCCTGAACTAAGTAAGCAAGCATGCAATTTGCATTTCGGTGTGCCTTCGGATAACTAGGGCTCGTAATAGTCTTGCGGGTCTCCTTTTCTAGAAACTAATTTAGGCAGTTGGTAGATTGTAATTAGGTATGGAGCTTGTCGCTGTATTTGAGCATTTTTGAAGCTATTTACTAAGGCAACTATTGCTATTGATTGTGTATATCGTGGGCTGTGGTAGCCCCTGGCTTGATAGAGCGAGAGGCTATGTAATTGTAACTCGAGCATACCTACTGACTTCGAATGATACACCAAAACTGTTAGACACAACAAACTAGAATAATGACGATATGCAAATATTTAAGAGTAGATTATTTCACCGTTTCCAATATTTACCTAGATATGATATATGCTTCTCTATGTAATGCGCTGTGCAACGATATAACGATACAACGATACACAGATATAAAATCTCCTTTTCCCCCCTCCATACGTTGCCGTGCCAACGAACCCCCACAATGCACGACATCACATAGATATGTAATTCATATGCAAACCGATAACTATTAGTTAATAACTAAAGCATTTATACATAATCCAGTCCAATCCAATAACCTGGATACAGCACCCATACCATACCCCATCCTACTTTACCTAGTAGCCAATGCATAAACCCACCTATCCACTCATTGCTATGTGATGTCCAACGAACCATGGAAATGCGAACATCGTCAGCGTCGTCAGCATCATCATCAGCACTACCACTAACTAGTGCCACCAATCACAACGCCACTAACACAGCCAACACCACCCAATACACCACCAGCAACAACAACAACAACAGCAATTATAATAGCAGCACGCCCCGGACGAAAAGGAAACCCGAGTCCCGCTCCGAGCGCACCGTGCGCACCGTCACCTTCATCCGCAAGCTCTTCCAGCGCCTGAGCACGGCGCAGAACGCGCACCTGCACCATGAGCGGGACCTGCCCGGGCTGAACGTCGTGGTGTTGCGCGGGGGGCTGGACTTTGCCGCCACGACGACGGCAGCGAGCACAACTCACAACGATGACGATGGCGGGGGTGGTGCGCAAAGCAGCAGCAGCAGCAGCAGCTTCTTCGCCCCCACGTCCTGGCCATGGGTCTACGACGTGCTGCGGCGGAACCCCCCCGGCGTAGCCCTATCCTCCTCGTCGCTCTCGGACGGGGCCAACAAAGAAGAAGAAGATGATTATGATGGCTGGTCCGTCGCGCACGCGATGTGGGCGGACCTGGCGTCGTGGCTGGGAATGGTGGAGGACCGGGCGATGCCGGGGCTGTTGGACGAGACGGGGTGGTTGTCTATGGAGTTAGTAGTAGCACCCAACCAAGCTAGCTCCCCTCCCCCCCCTCCCCCCCCCAAGAGTTAACATTCTTTTCCCAAAATGACAGCACCTCCCCCTTCACGATGCTCCGCCGGCACGTCGACGACGTGCACTGGACGCTGGAGGCGCTGTTCGAGCACGCCGACGGCTCGCGCCCCCACGTCATCTGCGTCCTCTCCGACAGCCAGCCCCTCCGCGAGGACTGCGTCTCCCTCAGCGAGCTGCTGCTCATCCTGTCCATGGTGTTCGTGAGGATCACCAGTCCCGAGTACGAGCAGCATCGCTTGGTACCCGTTCGTTCTTCTTTCCCTTTTTCTAACCCCTCCCCCTCCTGCCATCTCTCCCTCTCTTAACCCCCCCATTCCCTTCCCCCCAACTGTCTCGCGTTATTTTCTTTTTCTTTTTCTTTTAAAAAAACAAAGAAAGACGAAGAAGAAATCAAGAAACCAAAAAAAAAAGCTCACCCACCCCTTTTACCATCTAGGTAACCATCCTCTCCTGCTCCGGCCTCCCAGTCCGCCTCGTCCAGGGCTTCATCGACCCCGCCGCCGAGAAAGTCGTCATCCGGAAGACGCCCATCATGACGCGGACGGTCCGGGAGCGCGACTGCTGGGACCTGCACGTCGGTCTGCTCCGCTGGCTCACGGCCACCCCGGTGGGCGAGACGCTGTACGAGGAGGATTAAAGATTGATAGGTAACGACTGGTTTCTTTTTTGCGGTTGGGGTTAGGGTTGGGGGGTTTATAGATTACCCTTAGGTACCTACTAGATAGTTAGGTTAGTGTCCTTTCGACTCACTTGTCGTAAACTCTGGATCGGACTGGTAGTAAGTAGCATGATATCGTTTAGGATATGTTCATGGTCGGTCTGTTGTGTGTTGTCGTGGATAGGGAAACCGGTATCTGTCCTTTACCTACCTATCAATTCACTAATTAGTAAGGGGGGCTGAGATATGATGGATTTCATGAATAAGGCGCAATCCATGGTTAGTTCCAAGCGTCCATAGCTCTCTCTGTTCCATTAGCTATCGCAATACATACATCAGCATTAACAGCACCAGCATCGAATTATGGTCAGGCTCCCAATATGGCCGAGAGCGTGGGAGGAGAATAATGCTTATCCTTACTAAGTACCTATTTATAACTGCTCGCAATACGAGCTGGCGCTAGAGAATCCTCCCAGCGCTGCCAGGCTTTAGCCTTGGGTATTCCTCCAAATCCTGACATAATATTGATGATTTTCGACGCCATTTACCTATGTTCGTGACCCTTGTGTGTGCAACTGATGCTTCCTCGCGTGCTATATCAACAACGCCGGGGAAGGTCTGTTATATCATCCACCTACTTTCTTCTCTCCCTCTCCCCACTAGACTACGCCCAATTGTAACAAAAAGATATCGGAAACGAAGACTCGATATCCACCGCATCTGTTGATTGCCTAGGTGTAACTTTCCATCATGTCTTAGCACCCCCTCCACCCGGTGGATCTTCGTCACTATCGGCAGAACCAGAGCTCAACTTCCTACTTTCTGCTCTGAGCGCCGCCCCCTCGTTAACTTCCATCTTGTGTAGTCGCTCCTTCTTAAGTAGCTCCTCCTCGGCTGTCATAACTTCGAACTCCCCTTCCGAGTCCGAGTCTGAGTCCTCGTGGCCCGGCGGCTTCTTCTCAGCAGGTAGGCCGCCTTTGCTCATTATAGCAAGTGCTTCCTTGGAGACTTCTGGCACAGCTCGGCGTCCATAACTCTTGAGCAGGGTGGTAGGATCGATGGGTTTGATAGTGGGGTCGTAGGCAGCCGGTAGCCCTACGGCTACGGCGACGCGGTGTGCCTCCTCATCCGGAGTAAGATTCGGCTCTAGCTCGTAGACGCTGCTGTTCTCGCTGTCAGCCTCGTGTGGCTGTCCTAACAGCATGTGCGCATAGCTTTGCCTAGAGGGATCATGCGCTCGCTTCGCCTTTTTCTTCTCACGTTTCTCATTGGGACGTACGACTACGACGGGTACTGGCGAATACTGCAAGCAATACTTCGAAAAAGAGCTGCGGTTAACGAGGAATCCTTGAACACCATCAAGACTCCTGCCCTTTGTACCGACAATTAGCATGGACGGCTGGTATATTTTGATCTGACGTAAATTGCGTTAGCATTAGATCCCCATTCTCTCATTCTGACCTTGACAAAGCTTGTAATACTCACCAGGTGTTGGAAAGTGTTATGTAGCTTCCCAACAGCATATTCCAAAACCAATCCAATCGCCTTGTTTTGGGTGTTTTTGGATTGAATGGATTCCATCAGAGCCATTGCGTCATCCTGGTATGCCTTGTCCGTAAGACGGACTTGAGATTCGAATACGCGAACACAGACTATCTCGTCGCCATCGTCGACCAGTTCATCTAGCAACCATTGTAAAGCATGATCGGAGTACGAGTTGTCGTCTACACCGACCATGAAGGTGCGGTGCCGCCGCCGAAACTGAAAGCCCGAATGTCGGAAGTTAAGAGTATATGAGGTAGGGTTGTAATCGGTTGACTCTCCGAGGGGAATGTTGTCGAATGCGACATGAGACTCGAACCTTTTGGGGCGAGGTGTATCGGTTAGTGATTCGGTTGCCATAAAGCTACAAGGGGTAGAGGAACAATTTATAGATAAAAGAGAAGAAAAAAAAGGTGTAGTTGAGTTGTAATAGGTCAGTGATAGTATAAGCTCATTCAAGCGCATAAAAGCACCTATATTTTCTCCCCTTTTTTTTTGCGCGATATTCAACCCACGACTCAGAAGGAAGAATTCAAATTCAGTTCAGCCCAAGAATCACTAATGCCCAGCTTTACTGTTTTGCTGCGCCTTCATCGATCTAGCTAAGCTCGGAGTAAGGACACAAGTCTGACGGTACATCACTACTGTCAAACAAAGTACGGGGTTGGGTCTTTGGCTTTGTGACGATGAGTGGGGGAATATAGTGAGCGGGGTAGCACCGGGAAGTTGGACGAATAGTACTGGCTTTAGAGTAGGCCACACGAGTCGAAATCGGACTAGCTTGGCGATCCTGGACAGAACGACATGCCGACTGAAACTTGAGGGATACCGCCTTTGTCATCCCTCCACCGACTACATGAATCCATGAACTCATGAAGAAATCCTTCTTCTTTCCAGGAGTCGGCAGAACAGTAGCGCTGAGAGGACGCGAGCTTCATCCTTCTACCCGAGAACGTGGCTATGATACTCTGAGTCTTGAACGACGAATCCCCAAGCCGATGCTCGTGATGTAATTGGTAAGACAAGACAAAACAGGCTTCCCAACAGATACTCCCACCAATGAGTGTTACCGTGATCGTCCATTCGCTCAACCAGCATTTGGTGATGATTGCGAAGTGTACATGTGCGTGCTTACTTGTTTGGGCAGTGGTATGGGGAATAGAAGAAAAAACGGAGGGAAAAAGACAGAGAGACAGAAATAATTCAACTTACCTGCGGTGTGGTGGTGAAGCCGCTCGAATGCGATTTCCAGCATGCGGCTTCTTTAGACCTTGGGGTAAAGATGGGTTACGGAGAGGCGCAAAGGTGACGGACGAGATAGATCCCTTTCTAGACGAAGGACCACTACTCCCCGAACTAGAGGCCGTCTCGCCTGGAGTCGTCGCGCTCGCATCCCCCGTGCTTTCGACAATCTCCTTCCCTTTTCCTTTCACATCTTTCGGATTAACGGCGACTGTTCGTTGCGTAGGCTCAGCCCGAGGAGTGCTCTTTGCGCTACTATGCGGGGAACCAGCTCCGATCAATGGACTGCTCTTCTTTTCGAGATTAAAGTAATCGGTTTTCTTAGATGTCGGTTGTGACTTTGGCGATACATCGCTCGCCGGGCTCCTGACCAGGGTGGGTTTACCTCCCGACATTTTCTTCATTTCTTTTCTTTCTTTTCCCCTATGGGAACGTGGAGTAGCTCAAGACACAGCACTAAATACGACTATTGTCTACACCTAACTCACGTTTCCTCAGCAAGAGGGCGGAGGAGGCAGGTTCGTACCAACGGCATTTGAGCACCAAAGACTCAACGTGGTTTCAAAAGGGCTAGCTCGTGGCTAACCCGTTCTCGATGTGGCCTGATGACCGAGTGGTGGTGGGTGGGCAAAGCAAAGTTAAGAGATTCTCGAAAGATCGACTCGAACAAGCCACGTGGGTAAACAAGGATGATTGTTAATGATGGGATATTATTCGCAAAATACGAGTTTGGCAGATTGCTTGGTTGCTTGGTTGCGTGGCTGCTTGGTTGGTTGATAAGATGATCCTGTTAAAATGATTGTCCTTTGGAGAGGTGCAAGTAACCTTGGAAATGAAAGAATGTAAGGTGGGAGTTATAACGAAAGTTCCTCGGTTAGGTGGTATAGCTCTCAGCAATAAGTATAAGAACAAACAAACAAACGAAGTCGTTTGAGAGTCGTTTGATTCCAAAACAATCCAATGAAGGTAGAAATGGTAGATATGTAAGTTGAGTGGGCAGTTCCGTAGATGTCGCACTCAAATGTTTTTGTTAGGGATGGGTTGATTTGGGTTGGCTTGGCTCGGCTGTCGTGCAAAGTACCAGTAGCTCATCGGACTAGTTGGTCTTGTCTTGCTCGTGCGATCTAGACTTAGAAGCTTGGCTACCTACGTATAAGCTTCCGCGGCGGGTTGGCGCAGAGTTGGCAAGTGACTGTAGGTGGACAGCTGCTTTTGTACACAAACAAGTGGAGAACGAAAGAGGGTTGGCGGCTTATCCAAACGAATGGCTGGGCAGCACTGGAGTTGATATATTGTCAATACCTACATATATCAATGTAAGAGTAGGTAACCTCAGGTAGGCACATACATATATGTATGTACATAAAAATTGATGTAAATATCAATCTGAATTTTATTGATCCATGTACATAAAAGAGGTTCCGTCCAGTCGAATGACTCAGTCGCGGTTTGCAGGAAAGAATGGCCGGGATCTTGAGTTGGTTAGTACCTGGTAGGTAGGTAAGGTAGTTAGGCAGTTTAGTGTAGATTAATAGAGTATGTATGTCCGTATGTATGGTAGAAGAAGGGGGTACAATGTCGTATATGTAGGTATGGAGTTGTCTGGTGGTTTGAAAAGCAATTGAAGCTAGTATCATTGATGTCAAGGTATGTAGGTAGGAACCTGGTAGTAACCTGGTAGCAGTAACCTTGGAAGTAATGGCACAGACTTTTGACACCTAAGGGACTACGTTGGGCAGACAAGTAGGTAAGGATGTATCGTATGTATAGTCAAAAGAAGAAGAAGAAGAAAAACTCAAAGTTCTATGTAAAGTTTCTATAAACCCTGGAGTAGATTGGGCAACCATGGAAAGACCGGCGTTGATTTACATATGAGGCAAGGTGGAAGATATGTACATATACTGCTAACCTATATGTAGGCTGTAGCTGGCACTGCCCAGGCTTCCAGACTAGGCTTGCCAGGGCAGCCAGGCTACTAGGGCCCCCAAGAAGCAGGCAAGAAAGCTCTTTCTTTTCTGAACCTTGGTAGACTAGAAAATTTGGGAAAGTGAAAGAGCAAAAGCCAAGAATCCAATCCCAGGTTACGGCAGATGACTGTGCTTTCCAAATTTCCTATTTTTACATGCACATACAACCTACTAGCCCTGCCGTACTGCCGTACTTGCCTTGAACCCCCGTTACCTTAAGCCACTTAAACACTTCAAAATGTTTTAGTATTTCGGTTTGTGCATATGTATATCAACGACGTACATATTATCTAGGACCATCCATGTATGATTGATTCGAGTATACTAAGGTAGCTACAACATACATGCACGGTACTTAGCAAAATATTCTATAGATTACGACATCATGTACATGCCTACCTTTGTACCTACATAAATAACCTTCAAGGACCGCGAACCTTGAAAGTTTTAAGTACAGTACCTGTATATACCTACATATATAGACCAGACTCATGCATGTATGTAAGTCATCTTGCCTCCGACTAATCTAAATTCTAAACAACCTTGAAGCTTCTTCCTCTCACATCTCGAGATCGTTTTCGTCCTACTTATTCCCCATTCTTCTTCATCCCTTTTTCTTCCCTTCGTCCAATGATGTTCCCCCAACAGCAAAACGGCAGACGTTCTAATGCTACGTAAGAAGAGCATAATCATCAGATCAGCCAGCAAGCAAGCAAATCTTGCCATTCTCCAATCTTCAAGATCGATATCCCGTACCCCAAAAGGGTATCTGCCTCCAACGTTGAATTGAAAGGCATACATGTACGTATGTACAGTATATGTAGGTCCATATAGGTACTTATCTGGGTAGGTGAGTAGATGAGTAGGTGGGTAGATGGGCAGGTGGGTAAAGTGCCTATTTATTATCGTTAATTCGTGTAGGTAGCGAACATACAAACAGCCTTTTATACATGGTCACAACCACCACCTTCTGTACTCGTCATTGTGCCGCTGGCTACGCTGCTCATTTCAACACACGGAATATAAAGTCGACGTAACACCACACATACAAATTATCTGATAGTACCAAGCCTTTTATCCACAGCATCTGCGTCTAGGAGTCTACCGCCATTCCCAGACCGGCGGGTTTAGGCCAAGAAGCAACATTAACCCCTCCTAGTCCCCTGTCATCTGTCTCTCCAATACTATGACCTTTCTTTCCCTCTCCTGACCATATCCAGAAGGTTGCTCCAATGGCAATACCATTGTCTAGGTAGGTATCTACACCCGGGCTGTAAACTTCTTCCTATCAAAGGCACTACGGCCACATCAACTACCGACGTGGCTTACGCATACCCGCGCGACTTGCCTCCGCTTTCACTTTACCTAGCTGTTCGCATGACAAGTAACATGATAGTCAAGATCCGCAAACACCTTGCTCTTGCCGAGATACGCACATACACACCTAGGTACATGCTCTTGAGCAATACATACATGTAATATGCTAAAAGAGAGAAATCCACAACTTCCAAGAAAAAATATGCACCTACACAAAACCGTGGGGAAGTATAAAGGGCAACAAGACGTACGGGAGTGATACAATCTCGTGCTCTTGGCGAACTTGGCGCATATTTCGCGTAGCCAAGACAGTTGATGGGCAAGGATTGCTTTCCTTTCTAATATTTTTTAATGTGGTAAATGATGACACATCTATGTGCAAGTCCTGCGAGAAGGAGAACAAGGAAATATGTGCATGTGGCACGACAGCGGTTCAACTTCCAGCACAGAAGCCACAAAGCCACAGCGTAATTTTTTTATATGTTTTTTTTTCTTTTCTTTATAAATCTCCCCACACTACACACAATACTTCGTAGCAGCATACCACCAACCTAGAATGAATTACGGACAGAGTCTGGCGCATCTCCGCCTCCAACCTCCACTGCAACGTAGCAGTAGGTACCTGGCATTACGTCTACGCTACCGGGCGTGGAGCCTAAAGGAAGTGGGATGAGGTGAGGAGCCAACGGGTCGAGCCGTTTCAAGTCAACCACCCACCACGATCGAGCACTGGCCGATCCAGTTCCCTACTTTTGGCCGATTGCTCCTCTCGGATAGGGTAGATCTCGTCACATCGGCATTACTACCCGTCAAGCGCCCGAGAAAGAGAGGCATCTTCCTTGTTCTCTTGCTTATGGCCATACCTAGCCAGGTACGTATATTATAAAACATTGAAGTTGCAAGTACTTATATATACATGCCTGCCTTGGTAGGTAGGCAGGTATGTTTTACGATACCTAAGTACAGTATGCCGCTTATCCGCAACTCGTGAGCTTCCAAACAGGCAAAGTATTTGCTTGACGAGGTTAGCTAACAATCTTTGTTTCAGCCGCTGGGATGATATCTTCTCATGGCATGTTCGAAATCCACGAAACAGAGCATCCTAAAACAGCACGAGGTGAAATAATGAAATCAGAGCCCTTGACATCGGAATTGATAGGACATATCGGTCACCAACCCTTGTTATCAATGCCTGTCATATAAGCCACGGACTATGCAAGAAATCTTGGCTACCTGCAGCCTCGCCGAATACATCGTAGTTTCACAACCTCGTGGCTCACACACGAGCTGGACAGGCTTACAGCTCCGCTTGGTTATCTGCTCATGGTGGTCCGGCATTTTCCTACTGGACTACATAGAGTGAATTACCCCTTCCTCACGGGCCGGACTGCTTCACCGCACCTCCCCCACGACACAATAAATCGAGCTCAGTAACGAATGAGTAACTACAGCGAAATATGGTCTAATTCTAGGCCACTTGGACGCGATTCCGCAGTATTAGTAACGAATGTAGCTATTTCACCTGGGCCAACTTGCAAGCCGATAAACTACTGCTTGACCGCCTCTGAGCCATGTAGGTGATTGCCAACTGCTGGCCGGAGACAACGCTAGGCATGGCCGTGATAAGACTTTTAGGCATGATTCGCCGCCGTTCGGTATTGTCCGTCTAGGGATATCAATGCTAGAAGACCACCTTCGCTTAGCAGCCTTGTATCTTCAACATACTTCGCCACACGATGTCACCTACTTACCAGGTACATACCTACGTATGCCTGCTGGGTATGTAGGCTTGACTAGTATAATTTGGCGGGTAATTATTGTACCTAACGGGCCAAGCTGCGTACTATTTATCAAGGCGTTGAGATTCCCAAGACTAAGCTTCATCTCCATTTTCAATCCCGAATGCATTACAACACTCCAGAATGTCGATCTTAGATTCCTAGGCTAATTCAGCCGCCCCAACGAGCCGCTCAATCAAAAGTCCAAGGTGTGATAGAGGGGCTGGCCTTAGTCATCGTCACTGACGCCACGGGAGTTTGCTTGTCTTGGTAAGCACCACTACATACAAACAAAACACATACAAAATATGTAGTTTGTAATCCATGATCATAAGCTAACGTACATATAAAGTATGGATTTCTAAACCACCATTTCGGTTCCGTCACAGGATTTAGCCTCTTGGCTCTTACACTTGGCGAAGTCTTGATTCTCAGCACTAACCTATGGTGATCCGCTGCGCTAAGGATCGACAGAGATCATGGGAAAACTGAGTTGGTGTGCTAAGAGAAGGATCAAGGATGATGAATTACATCGTAGGTACTCGGCGGCCTGGCTTTACAACTTCTCGCCACTTATTGAATAATTCAAATCGGCTTTATCAGATTCCTCGTTTTATCGATTATTCTCCGAGTGAGATCAAATAATAGATCTATTATGTGGTTATAAGATCGACTTCTTTGTTTCCAATTAATACATGGATTCTATTGGAGAGGAGCCGAATCAAGCTGCGTGGATCCCGAGTTGAGAGTGCTACACATGCCTGTTCATTTTACGAGCTCGCACTTGAGCCTTATTACCACAATACTTGGCGACTCAATGGCGCTATATTTGGCATTGCAATGGAAAGCCTACACTTGAGGCGGAGGAAAAGAAAAGAGAAGAAAAATCTCCGACTGGATGACGTCTTGCACACAAAAAGAAGGCGAGTACTATGTATGTACTTTCAGAGCTCGTGCATATGAGAAAAGGTGGGACTTGATATACATGTTCTTGATGCATGTATGAGCTGAGCGAGGCTCAAATATCGAGAAGATGTCCTCTAATACAAAGTGCCGAGCACCTACATAGTATAGCAAGGTCTCGCGTGACCTCTACTAGCTAGTAAGTGTATCCTCTCTTCACTTAGTAGCCATGCTAATAAGAGAGACTCTTAGGCTACATGCACATTGGGCCATACCTAGGTAGATTATGTGCCAGTGGAAGAGTGGACCATCACACACCCCGCGGCTCCAGGGGACCAGATAGGAACCTAATCGCAATCATATCTGGATATTAAGCCACGTACATACATACATACATACCTACATACATACGGAGGAGACCCGCCTGTTCATTGAGCTGAGAAGGTAGGTAATCATCTAATAGACAACTGTTGGATTAGGTGGTGCTACGTACGTCATTCAGGATTGGTAGATCTCAGTTGCTGATGTTGCTCCACATATTCCCTTTACACGACTCTAATTGTGATATAGTAAATCTGTGTTTGCCTAGGTTACCTAGATACCTACCTACCTATACGATGGCCTCGTGACTTGAAGTGGTTCTCACTGGGTATCTGCAAGGCTATTCGGTTTACCATGAGGATTAACTGTGCCTTGATAGGGTTATACTATACGAGGCCGATGAGGACGATGACAGATGCTTCAAATGTTCGCTTTGCGTCCCTTGAAACCCGCATACCCGGGTTCAGTACCAGGCATGACGAAAGCACCTACCAGCACTTCACCTACATGTATGTGTGTATTGTACAATATCTGCCTACATAGCACCTAGGCTATCTTGCTGACGGCTACTTACTAGGTAAGTGAGTAGGCATGTATGTACGACCAAATCACAATATACAATGTAAATATGTCACGAACCAATGCCGATTTTCCGCCGTGTCGTCACATTCGGAACTCTGGTGCCGGCTAGGGTGCCGATGCAAAAACCTGTGAAATCTTGCGTCTGACTGACTGAACCATGGTCCATGGTCTGTTTACTTACTACGCTGTGGCTACCTAGGTAGCTGGTTATGGTATATGTGTAACTGTATATTGTAGCAACGGTGTTGCGGTACACAAAACCCCCCTTTACGACTATGAAATACTTGGTAAGTATATAGGTACGAATATGCGATGATGAGGGCAATAAATAGGTGACACATTAACTTATGTAAGTGGGCACCTGTCTATGTACCTGGGTATGCAGATGCTTTAAGCCATCTTTGCTGTAGTTCGTTCATGATCCTTGTCGTCGTGTACGGAAGCGGGACGATCTGGGGTTGTGTGGATGCGTACGTGCGGTGCTGGGTCACCAACCGGAGTAGCTTACGAACGGCCACGATACCATACTGCAAAGTATTGCATTTTGCAGTCTCAACTTGCGGGGAAGAACGAGGAGGAGGACAAGGGCGGCGACAAAAGAGGAGGAGATACAGCATCTGACCTAGCCTCTCTTAACTCACCACAATTACATACCTAGGTCCTAGGTAGGTACCTACCTACCTAGCTCCACGTACATAGGCAGGTTCATGTAGTTATGTAGTCTTCACGGCCAAACTGAGGTTAGCTTGCCCTACCTAAGCCTCTTGGCTTTCTCTCAGCCCTGCGTGCTACGATGCATCGTCACATTTGAGCTAAAAAAAAGGTGCACTCGAGCGAAGCTAATAAGTCAAGAATGAAGCCCGGCTTGTCAGACGGCACGAGATGAGCGACGCCGTTCGTAAATCGGACCCAATCCCCCAGTGCTGATCACCGCGCCACTAGCACCACCACCACCACCACCACCATTGACTGCTGCCACAATTATCCTACTCCATCATCCAGCTCCTCCTCCACTACATACTTACCTGTGTAGGTATAGATATTAGATATATGCTCTCCTTGTACCAGTCACGACCCCTTAGTTACATACGCACATAGAACAAAAGGACACAGAGCCCTGGGGGTAGTTATGTATGTATGTAGGTAAGCAATCTCAAGGGTATCCATTCCTTGGCTTTCCTCTTGGCGCCAAAAACGGTGAAAGCCGAACACACACACATGCCCGCCCATTATAATCGCGGGGTGGAGTTGCTTGTGTGTCGTGTACGAACCTGAACTAAGGTACCTTACCGTACCTTACCTTCAATGCAGCCTAGTATGTAGGCAAATATGTAATCACAAGCTTACCTACCTACCTACCTACCTACCTAACCTACCGGACGGGAGGCCTCCCTCCCCAAAAATGCGTTGTTTAGAACCCGAGTGAGTATACCTGACCGGTCGGTCGGTCGGTCCCCATCCATCTTTTTTTAACGGCGCATACCCGCCCGCCTACACAAATGCATACACCTATCTATGTATCCATCACCACACATACCTGCCTACATAAACGCAGACCTACATACGGGCCTATTTACCTACACACATACATACATACATACCATGTGGCTCCCCCCATCTCCATCTCCATCTCCATCCCCATCCCCTAGCCAACACACTAAAACGCTTTCCTCCGCCGTGCTCCGTCCCCTGCCCAGCTGAAAAGTTTCTTTTGCTTCCCCCCCCCCCCCTAATCCTCAACCTCAAGCTCTCGGACCTTACCTTACCTTCACACATACATACATATGTAGTTACATATGTCCGACCAGTAACTACCTACAACTTTCCCCGTGACGGCGGACGGATACATGCGTGCGTATGTATGCTTGTGCTGTGCGCTCGTGATATGATATACTCCCTTCCAAAACCAAAACCAAAACCCCCCTCCCCAAAAAGAAAGAAGGCATAAGAAAAAAAAAAGGGTTGGTGGAGGTTTATGGACATCCACTCCCACACGTACCGTTGTCCGGGAAAAGGGCATGTGCTTTTTTTTTTTTTTCTTTTTTTTTCATTCAATGTTTTTTTTTTTTTTTTGGAAATTTGAAATTTCCAGGGCTTGGCTACAGCAATACAGGACCCTCCGTGTACCTACGTAGGTAGATCTTCTAAATACTAGGCACTATGTAGGTACTAGGACTATGTAGGTAGGTAGGGGTTTGTTGGTCTATGACATAGGAGCCAAGAGTGTAAGAGAAGGATTAGAAAGCTTGAACGGAAACTGGCCTCATTTTTGTTACCTAATATTGTCTGGGCAAGTAGGTAGATACCAGGTACTACTTACTGTAGGTAGGTATACATCTAATAGCAATGCGTGTGCGAATCAAATATGTCATTTCATCACTTCGCTCTCGTGACTACCTAATGACCTATCTACTATCTGGATAGGCAGATAGTAAAGGGACCTACTTTTCTCTTCGTGTCTTTCTATAGCCACACATCCCTTGTTGGTTGGTTGGTTTGTTTACAACTTATAGTTGTTTCTTCCTCCCTTTCTTTTATCCGGGCCAGTCACTATCGTCCGCCTTGCCAGCCGGCCTCCCTTCTGATGATCGGGAGTGACATACATATTATTCCGTGACGCCTGTGCCATGCAAACCGACGACGAAAAAAAAACCGAGAATGTCATCTACTCTCGGCATTCCCTTCCGTTCTCCTTCTCCCTGCCATTACCGAAGAAATTGGGTATTTCCTGTTGCGTTTCTGTCTGTTGCGTGGACATCACAACTCTTGAGCAACCTTAGTTGTACGTTCGCGATAGGTTGCGCAGATACCAGTCTACTAGCTTGCGTCCAACCTTGGCTTCCGAAATGTGAATCAAATCCTGCAAGTCTCCGTTAGCAAAGTTGTGTCATGAAAAAAAGCTTGACTGTAGGACAGCAAGCTTGATCGCTAAGCGAAAGAAGAAGAAGAAAAAGGGAACAAAAACATACTCCTTGTAGGGCATAGTCTAGATCGCTAACATTGACCCATTCTCCCTCTAGGAGGGCGTGGTCGTTCCACCGCAACTGCTTGGTACGCTGCTTGTTGACCAGCAGCCAAGAGCGTAGTTCCTCGGGCTTCACTTCTAGGAAGCCAGCAAGTTTCTGAAGATCCATGGTTGTATAGAGGCGCAGATAGGACTTGACAGTCGGGTTCCACATGTTGGTCTTGACCTCATCCATAAAGACGGACAAGTGATGGTCGATTGGGTCCACGTTGGCTTCCGGGTTGTCAAAATCAGGGGGGACTGGGGAGATGAACTTGGGGCAGGCCGCCTTGAACAACTCCTCAAAGATAGGGAGCGACTCTGGGCCACCACGCTGTAGCTTGAGAAGCTGGTCTCCATACTTCTCTCGTAGGGCGGTGTGAATAGTGTCATCCAAGCGTGTCGGCTGGAAAGCGACGCAGATAGCGATCAAAGCGTACATCTGATCGTTCTTCTTCGTGATGGAGTCGTACTGGGCATTCTTCTGGAAGTTCTTGGTACGCGACACATAGACGAGAATGTGGCTGAACATGCGGATGGCATCAGCGTATCGGTGCATCATCATGTAGGAGAAACCCACGTAGTAGTAGGTGGTAAAGTGAGCGGCCATGACACGAGCGAACATTGCCTTCTTGTTCAGCTCGATGTCGTCAAGGGTCTTGAGAGCTAGGCTAAAATCGCCTAGAAGACAGTGGACGCGCAGGAGGCCAATGATGGAGAAATAGCCAAGCATTCGGTACAGAGTCTTGGAACCGTACTCTCCAGCAACGGCAGCAGGCTCCTCATTACGCTTCATGGCAGCGAGCTGCTCGACGATCTGGGATCGTTGGATTAGGGAGTAAAGAACGTTCAGAACGCTGTAGCAGCCCCAGGTGTTCGGATTCTCGCGTAGAATCTGTCTCTCTTCTTCGTTGTCTCTTGCTTGTCTGGCGATTCGGAGTCGGTAGGAGGAGAATGAGTTAAATTGGTAGATGAACTCGTCGATAACGTCCCAAGCCCAGTAATGCTAATGATAATGTTAATATATTTGTCTACCCAGCAAGCTAGATGTAGTAGGTAATGACACTAACCGAAGGTGGTTCCAAGTCGACAGGGCCCTCGGAGTTGAGGACAAAGTGGAACAAGTTACAATAGGAATCGTAACTCTGGAACTTGACTTCCAAAGGAGCAGAGAAATCTAAGGGCTGGGCAGCGGCGGCGAGTCTTGACTGAATATCGTCGGTCTGTTGGGCCATGGTCAAGGAGCTGACCTGCTCTAAATCCTCCAATCCATCTTCATATTGGACCTGTTCTTGGTAGTCGGCCACAAGGGCTTCCTCCTCTACATCACTATCATCCTCCATAGGGCGAGCAGGAGCGGTGCCGTTTCTTAATGCGCTCATCGTGAAATATCCGGTTAGAGATCAAGGCGATAGGCGATAGGCGATGTCGCGATGATTTCGTGGGGAAATCTCGATTTGGTTAAATTTTCACGAGGCGACCGTGGAGGGGCTTCGGTTGCTTTGGTCGCAATTTTTTAGATTGGCACAAGTTCGAAGAGACCACAAAAGATCAAAGTTGAGGCAACGGCCGAAGTTTTACCGGATTAGGGCTTTTAGAGTGTGGCCCCTGCGTTATTGCCCCTCCTTCAAGGCCTTCAAGTTTTATTTTCTTTGGCGGGCTGGCGGGGTACTCAAATTGTTATCGATACTACTAGGTAGTTACTAGTAGTACCTCCAGCTAGTAGCAGCTACCGGAGATAGTTACCTACATGTACCATGGACATCATGAAAACAGCAATGGTAAGCGCGATGGTTTGGTTTGACTTGAGATCTTACATATAATTCAGAGTTACTCATAATTAGTCATTCAGCTGTGGAGCACTTCGAACATAGATACGTTAGGTACCTGCCAGGCCCTGCCTAAGACACTTGGATAGTCTTGGAAAGTTAGTCACTTCAACACGTTTTTCATCCAATCAGCTTCTCATTTCAACGCCTTTTTATGCTATTTGAGTTGTTGTAACTTGTAACTCGACCCAAATGACTTGAAATAAAATAAAGAAGGTCTCATTAGTTTGGTGTCATTAAAGTTACTATATATTTTCAACTTATTGGCTCACAACATTCTCTACAGCAGTCCCTTTTATTTATTTATTTATTTTGAAAGAAGTAACTAACAACATATTCCACACAGCTCTTCTGTAAATCATAATCGTCAAGATGCCTGTCGTAACGCCAGATAAACTTGCTAGTTTACAGCAACATGCAGACGATATAAGAAATGTACCCACTTCACCCCCTTCCCCTTTCCCTCAGAAAACTGACCTCATACTAATATTGCTCAGATTTGTATTCTAGCACACGTTGATCATGGAAAGACATCCTTAACAGATACCCTTCTTGCTACAAATGGCATCATCTCACCAAAGCTTGCCGGCAAGATCCGGTATCTCGACTCGAGACCTGATGAGCAAACCAGGGGCATTACTATGGAATCTTCTGCTATATCCCTTTACTTCTCCATGCTTCGCAGGCCATCACCAGAGGAAAAGCCAGTACCCAAGGAATACCTAATCAACTTAATAGATTCACCTGGTCATATTGATTTCAGCAGTGAAGTATCTACAGCGTCCAGGTTATGTGATGGCGCACTCGTACTTGTCGATGCCGTCGAAGGCGTTTGCAGTCAAACTGTCACAGTTCTCCGGCAGTCCTGGACAGAGAAGTTAAAACCTTTGTTGGTTATTAACAAGATAGACCGACTGGTTACCGAGTTGAAAATGACGCCTGGTGAAGCTTATCTCCACCTAAGCAAACTCCTGGAACAAGTGAACGCTGTTTTGGGCAGTTTCTTCCAGGGCGAACGTATGGAGGAGGATTTGAACTGGCGAGAACGCATTGACGAGAGAGTCGCTGCTGCTGCTGCTGCAACCAAGGAGACGAAACTAGGTGACATCGAGAGCGAAGCAGGAGACATACAATTCGAAGAACGAGACGATGAAGAACTATATTTTGCCCCGGAGAAGAATAATGTCATATTCAGTAGCGCTATCGACGGCTGGGCATTTACTGTTCGACAATTTGCGAGTTTATATGAAAAGAAACTCGGTATCAAACGAAGCATTATGGAAAAGGTCCTATGGGGTGATTTCTACTTAGACCCGAAGACGAAGAAGGTCTTGGGGCGGAAACATCTAAAGGGCCGTAATCTAAAACCCATGTTTGTTCAGCTTGTGCTTGAGCAGGTATGGGCTGTCTATCAAGCAACTACAGGAGGTGATCATGGAAAAGGGTGAGCAGACAGCCATTTAATATTCGTTACTCTAGTGAGAAGAAAACTAACAGTTAAATAGAGACTCTAATCTGTTGGAAAAGATTACTAAATCACTAAACATCACAATACAGCCACATGTCGCCAGGTCAAGAGATCCTAGGTTACTGCTCACGACTGTGTTCGCATCATGGCTACCACTTTCTACGGCCTTGCTAGTCTCTGTCATCGAATCTTTACCTTCACCGAGAGTGGCACAGGCTGAAAGACTGCCTGAGCTATTAGAAAACTCTCCTGGTTCAAACCATATCGATGCCTCCGTAAAAGATGCCATGATAAGTTTCAAAACCACAAAGTCTGACCCTGTTGTGGCTTATGTCAGTAAAATGGTATCTATCCCTGAGAGCGAGCTTCCGGAGAACAAACGACGGGCTGGCATGCTCAGTGCCGACGAAGCGAGAGAGATGGCCAGGAAGAAACGAGCAGAATTTGCCCGAGCTCAGGCGGCAGAGAACAACGGAACGGAAGATATCACTGCAGCATTGGACAGTGCCACAGTAGACGACTTCGTCCCGGAATATGATGAGAAGAATATCGACCCAGAGCACCTCATAGGATTCGCACGGATGTACTCGGGCACATTGTCTGTGGGTGACTCACTTTACGTCTTGCCACCGAAATTCTCTCCCGCGCATCCACATGCAGCCCCTGAGCCCAAAAAGATAACGGTTACGGCTCTGTATATGCTCATGGGCCGCAACTTGGAATCCCTAAACTCAGTCCCCGCTGGTGTCGTATTTGGAATCGGCGGCCTTGACGGCCATATCCTAAAGTCGGGGACCCTATGCAGCCAGCTTGAGGGCTCCGTCAATCTAGCGGGTGTTAACATGGCAGGTAAACCTATTGTACGAGTAGCACTCGAACCGGTAAATCCTGCTGACCTAGATCGGATGATAAATGGCCTGAAATTACTCGTTCGAAGTGATCCGTGTGCCGAATATGAGCAGTTCGAAAGTGGAGAGCATGTTCTACTTACTGCAGGAGAGTTACATCTCGAACGATGCCTAACAGACCTGAAGGAAAGGTTTGCGAGATGCGATATTCAAGCAGGTGCACCCATTGTGCCGTACAGAGAGACTATAGTACGCGCAGAGGAGATGAGGCCGGCTGCCAATAAAGAATTGGGTAGAGGTGTTGTGGTTGGCATCACCAACTCAAAGCAGGTTAACATCACAATCCGGGTTAGGCCATTACCAGCGAACGTTACCGAATTTCTACTCAAGAACCCCGGGGCTATTAAGCGTCTACATTTAGAGCGTGAGGCACTTGGCAGTGCTGAAAAAGACAGTGCAGCCGATGAGGAACAACAAAATATCGAAGAAGATGAGGACGTGCTTGAAGGGAAAGGTCTATCACTAGATGAGCTGAAGAAGCAACTCCAAGAAGTTTTAGAGAGTGGCAAAGGGCGTGAGGGGTGGGGTGGTGTCATCGACAAGATAGCAGCTTTTGGACCTCGGCGAACTGGTCCAAACCTGCTAATCGACGCCACCAAGAACGGATACTTTCCCAAGTTGTTTTCCCCCGAGAAGGAAGAGAATGACACTGGCCCCAAGGCAGACGAAGCACTCCAGGCAGCGCATTTATGTGACAAGGTTACGTATGCCTTCCAACTGGCTATGAACCAAGGCCCGTTATGTAACGAACCGGTACAAGGCGTCGCCGTCATCATCGAGGATCTCACAGTAGCGCCCACAGACGAAGAGGCTTCGGCTAGAGACCGGCTCGGTAGGCTTACTGGTGAGATTATCAAGACGGTGCAACAATGTATCCGCCAAGGCTTTTTAGACTGGTCCCCACGCCTCATGCTAGCCATGTACTCGTGTGAGATCCAGGCAAGCAGTAAGTTTTTCTTCCTTTTTTCTCCTTCCTTTTCTTGACTCTTATGCCTTGCCCCTTTCCCATCTCCATATCCTTCCTTACTAACACGCAACAGCCGAGGTCCTAGGCCGCGTATACGAAGTCCTAACCCGACGGCGCGGACGCGTGCTCTCGGAGCAGATGAAGGAAGGCACGCCCTTCTTCACGATCCAGTCCACCATCCCCGTGGCCGAGTCCTTCGGGTTCGCGGACGAGATGCGCAAGCGCACGTCGGGCGCCGCCCAGCCCCAGCTCATCTTCGCCGGCTTCGAGGTCCTCGTCGACGAAGACCCCTTCTGGCAGCCCTTCACCGAAGACGACCTCGAGGATCTGGGCGAGCTCGCCGATCGCGAGAATGTCGCTAAGAGGTACATGGATGGCGTGAGGAAGCGCAAGGGCTTGCTGATCGAGGGTAGGGGCCAGAGGGTTGCGGCTGAGAAGCAGAAGACGCTTAAGAGATAAAGTGGTGGTGGTGGTGGTGGTGGTAGATATTGAGTTGCGTGATGGCAGACCCATGGATATCGATTTTTCTATTAGGTATGAGGTGAATGTTGACTCTAGTTGTTGATGAGGGGAAGAAGAGGAGGCCTGCTAAGTACACCTACCTAGGTTAGACGATGATTATCACACTCGTCTTCTCCTATCTTACCTTACCTACTTGATTGACATAATTCCAACTCCCATCACTTCACCAAAGACAAAGACGAATACAACGCACGTAGGCACCTAACCTAGGTAGGTAAGATTTATTTGGATCAAATTGGTCTTTTTGAAATAAATAATCGACCTTTCCGTTTGATTCAATTCAATTCAATTCAATGTTTGATGTCATTCATTTCCATACACCCCTTTACCCCTTTCCCACATAAAAAAAAGAAAAGAAATTCAACAGAAACTCCAGAAAACATATTGTTGTGTGTGCAGTGGATATATGATAATATACTATAATAGCTTCTCAGTCCTCTTCTTCGTTTCCTTACTTCTTCATACGTTCGCTTTCCGTTTCTTCTTCCTTTCATCTTCATTGACTTTTTCCCGCTCTCATCTCCTTCTTCCCCTTTCCCCTGGGTATCCCAATAATGCCTCGTCCCGACTACCCCCCCTCTTCGATTCATAGGGACTGGTCAGACCAAGATTGAGCCCGTGCAATGTATCCTTGCAGTCTTAAGGTGTCTGATAACTTTGTGCCGATGTGTAAGTGGATCGACGTTTAATAATTTGGCTCTTTGCTTCCTATCTGTGTATTGGAAGTATATAGATGAGAGTTGTTCTGTTCTGGGTGTCGTGGTAGTTCTAAGTGCTGGTTCTATATGTTACTTAGTTGTTTTGTGGTGGGTTGAGCTAATCGAAGATAGCTTCGTGTGGTCAATTCATGACTTCGCCTCTGTATCATCCCAGCCCCATACCTGCGAGAGGTATCTCTCCATGTTGACTCGCTTTGTTCGCATCTCCACCATCCAAGGATGCTCGAGCATTCTCCATGGACTTGCACGGCGGCTTGGTTCTTTCTCGAGACTATTGGCTATGTTAGTTTTCGAATTGTAGTAGAGTTGAAGATAAGAGAAATGTTAAAAACCTACCAGCATTCGATGAAATATTTGAAGCTGTCACTCCAGAAGATATTAGCATCTGGCTCATCCTTCAACTTTGGTATCGGTTGCCGAACGACATAAGTCAATAGATCGATTAACCCAGCCCTGGGTTGATCGACCGTTCCGTCGGCAGGGAATGGGAATCGGTGTTGAGCTACTTCGAGAAGAGTGACCCCGGTAGACCAGACATCCGACGTGATGGTATAACTTTGGCCAGTAATACGTTCAGGGGCCATGTAATAGCTCGTACCAATGAACGTATTCGCTTCGCCCTTGGTGCCGAAGTCACCCGAGACACCAAAGTCACACAACTTGACCTCCCCATTCCGGCATAGTAGGATATTGGACGGCTTGATATCTCGGTGGATAATTTTCTTGCTGTGAAGGTAGGTCAGGCCTCGGAGTACGCCCTCGGCGATCTTGCCAAGCACCTTCTCGCCTGTTCGGCCACCAAGCCGTTTCACCTCCTTGTAGATGCTGTCTAGAGAGCCGCCTTCGCAAAATTCCATAGCAATGGAGATGGTGGCCGTGGCAGGGTCGCCGAAAATTCCGTAATACCGACAGATATGTTCTGACGCACATTCCTTGTTGAAGTTGATTTCACGGAATATTTGTTTCTTGACATCCGGGTCTGGGTTGGTAGTGATGACCTGAGGAATGTAAGTAAGGAGCAGTTGATATGATTCTAGACACAAAATTTGGACTGGAGGATGGAAAAGTAGACAGACGACATACCTTGAGCGCAAATACTGTCTTCCCCCCCTTCAGTTTACAGCGCGTGACGGCACCACCGGCACCTTCACCTAAGCTACCTAGCTCAATAAGTCTGTTTTCTGAGCTGGCGATCCTCCACCCGTTATCATCGAGTTCCTCTACATCAGCCGTTCTGGCTTTCTCTAATGTGAGCTTATCGAAGCTCTCCTCTAGTCCTTGTGTGCTACCATCCCGTTCCATTCCATGGCCACCCTCACTTCTTTCAGAATATATAGAGCCAACGGCAGATATAGGGTCTGGAGTGCCTTGTGGCCTCGAGCCAGCGATGCCATATTGCGACGCAAATGAGAGAGCAGAGAACTGGGAGCCGGCAGAGGTGGGGTTGCTAGCCCTTCCGTCGAAAGGACCAAAACTGCCTGATCGGGAGTGCGCTGCGCTGCTTTCGCTACCGCCGCTCGCTGACTGTCCTGCTTGAATGCTCGGTCTAGGCTGCTCGTACGGTGTGACTGTGCTACCCATCGGTGTGGCAACGTGTACGGTGAGTTGCGGGCGCGGCGGACCACTTACGGCAGCGTTGCCTACGGGTTTGACATTAGGAGATGGGGGGATAGCTAGGCCTAATCTCGGGGTTCGTCCGCCACTCGGCCTGCCGCCTGCGAGCGCGGGTCGAAGAGGGGCGGGAGATGAGGACATGAGGGGGATGAGCGTCGGTGCGGAGGTCGGAGGGGTGCCAACAGCGGCATCTAAAGATGCTGCAGTTGGGGCCTTCATTTTGAAAGAGTGTTAGCATCGCAAACACAGAAAGAAGTTTAACTCATTCGATTTGAAAATTGATGAGCAAACAAAATAACAAGACTTAAGGAGACCAGGAGACTAGAAGGATTTAAAATACGAGAAGGAGAAGAACAAGAGGGGAATATCAATTACATTGTGGGCCACCGGCTCAGAGGTCTGAGCGGCATTCTCGTGGTCGGGCATTTTGTGCAAGTCCGACTTTTGGGACAACAGACAGGCTATAGACCACAAAGCACAGATTGCGCAGCAAGCCTGTGGGTGTATGCGTGAGTATGCGTGTTCGTGGTGTAGTTTGCCGAGGAGGCGGTCGGGCTACTCGAGTTACAAAGAGGAAATAAAAGGGCCGAAGATGGCTTGTAGTATGTAACAGTCCGTCAACAAGACTGGCTCAACCAAGACCAGGTATAATGGGTATAATGCGAATAGTCTGTGAATATAATGTGAACGAGGTAGCACAACACCACGAGTTAATATATTTCGAGTGACGTCTCTTTCTAGTTCGTCTTTAGTGTCACTGTTTGAATGTATGGAGGTCCCGATCCTATTCGGTATTATACGAAGCGAATGAATAAACTCCCAAGACTTAGGATAGACAGACAGGGTGATGAAGGGAACAAAGTTGAATGGGACGAAGTGGGATGAGAGAAGAACTTGGAGGGATGATGTGGAAGAGGACAAGACAACCTTGAAGACAAGACAAGACAAGACAAGACAAGGAGGGTTAGGTAATTAATTAGTAGGTAGGTACAGTATGTAGTTTGCTTGTTCAAGTTGAGCTGCCGCGCGTAGAGTAGCGACCTAGATACATATGTAGGTCTAGTACTTTGATCAACTCTGGATTTCGACTTGTTATTGGCGAACTTATATGTTGGCCTTGATAAAATGACTATTGGGCTTTGGTTCGGGTTTGGCCTTGGGCCTGATACAGTCTGGTTTTAAAAAGCTGTGGGAGTTGGTGCCAAAAGCCGGTGCTTGGTGCTGGGTGGTTAGTTGCTGGTGATGGTGATGGTGGTGGTGGAGATTACCTACTGCTAGCCCTGGAGGTGGTAGCATGTTGCTGCAGCCTGCAGCTTCTCGCTACGCTACTACATACATAGTGCTAGGTTGTAGGTAGTATGTACCTAAGTTGTAGGTAGTATGTACCCAAGTTGTAGGTACCGTACTTGCCGCACTTGACTAATTGATTTTCCTAACAGGGATTCTGATACAAGGCTTCCCAGAGTTGATACTGGTTGGTATGCTATCAACCCTATTTCATTTCCCCTTCAGCGCCTATATGCCTGTATACTCAATGTCATGTGTATTGCGTGTCTTGTCACTTGTGTCTTATGTCTGTTATTTTGAATTTTGAATTTTGAATTTTGAATTTTGCATATTATATTTCGTATGCATGTGTTGTATGTAGATCAGGCGACAAAGACGACAGGTGAAATTGATACTGGGATAACTAGTTACTGGGATGTGGGATAGAGTGATTGGGTCGCTTTTTATTTTTTGGCTCGTGGAATTCTCGGCACAGAAAACGGGATTTGTACATATATCTACATATATCAACTTCAAGTTGAATGTATGTACTTACATAAGGTACTTCAATGTTTAACAACATCAATTGAATATTGAGTCAAACTAGAGTGCGGGATGAAACGTCTAGAGGTGTCTCTGCTGAGGGGTACCATGACAGTATGTACTGAGGGCGAAGAGGTTCAAAGTTGTATGTATGTACTTGTCCAGCTCCAAGTGGATGTGATATGTACTAGGTAGGTATCTAACATTGAACATTGAACTTGAAGCATGCGCCTATGTAGTACAATGTGCATGTGCCTACCCTCCACGTCTTGACACTAGCACTTATTACCTATGATACTAGCTCAGGTGCTCTTGAAGAGGTGACGAGTGGGGTTGCTAAACTCAAAAGACTTCCAGATGTCAATTGAAGTTGACAAGGCCGGCCCGGGCCTAAGACGTTTAACGATTACTATCATGTAGTGACATGTACCTACTGCTGTGTACTGCCCAGTTTCCAATCTTGAATTAAGACTTAAGTGCACATGTAAGTATCAGGTGAGCTCAGATTGCATTGAATTACTAAATGTGTTTGTTAATTCATACCATAGATCCATGGATGTCCAGAAAAATGTGATAGTGCTCAATTATCAAAAGACGGACAATGATCAATCAACTGAATCAAGAAGGCTCGTAACACCAAGTACCTAGGTTAGGTTAGTACCTACATGTAGTAGGTAGGCTGGGCCTGACTGGCAGACACCATGACACCATGTAGAGTACTACGTACCTGCCTACGACATCAAGGGTTGACCGATCATCTTGAAGGTGGCCCGCTAGTTCCAAGGATCAAATCGTGGAACATTGAAATATTTGTTGCGTGCACCACCAACATGAACAAGGATCCTTAAACTTTCTTGAACTTCTTTGAACCCCAAACCCCTGACTTGCTCTTAAGGGACCCCATTTTCAACCCACCATTAAAACCCTTACAAACCCTTACCCCATGTACATCAATGTGATAATACTAGATGCTATACCTCCGGGTTTCCCTTCCACATCTACCACATCTACCACATCTACCACTTAGAGAGGCTAAAATCTCTGTTCCTGTCGAATAATGCTTTGACTAACCTGCCTTGTCACTGCTGACATGTCTGATTATACAATACTAAGACGTCAGATTTTTTATGATCCAGTTTTGATACTTCCCCTACTTTTCGGAGTAGGCGAGATTATCTTGAACTTTTTGCTAGGGGCCGATACCCAAGAAGGGAATGGAGAGGTCAAGTATCTACTTACATTGATGCCACTATGCAGGTAAGCTTTCAATATAGTGCATTTACCTATACTATACCAAGAGCTTGTGCCGTTGAAGTTACATAAAGTACTACGCTCAAGTACAACTATTGCAAATATGGTAAGACAGAGGCTAGTCGTTTAAATGACCTCGAGTTGAGGTCATGCTCTGGCTTGAGGGCTTACATGGTAAAGGGAAAGCTTGCCGTTTGTAACCCTACCCCAATTCAATTCCAGGATACTAAAGCACCATACCATACCATACCATACATATCTACATACACAAAATTATGGTGCATGCGATAGGTAACTATAAGCCAGCCTGTTGGGGTTCAGCTACGTATTGGGGCGAGACAGCATAGACCCCAATTCTTGATGGCGACACGAGGCTAGAGAAGATTGGTCCGGAGGTCGATCTGGAGCTTCGCATCTTGGGGTCCAAAGGAATTTGTTCCCGGTCACGGCGATCCTCTAATATGGCTTCTTTGCATCCGACAAATCTAAGCCGAATGATGGTGGTTCGACAGGGAGAGAGATGGGAGCGTTCACACAGTGCCTGGGTAGGTACTTACCTTTATAACTACATATGTAGATGTCTGGAACTTCAATGTTGCTCAAGTTTTTAAGTCCAACATGAACTTATGTAGAGCACGGAATTGGGAATTGTAAGGAGCATGAGGGATGCACTATGTAGCCGTCTACCTAGCAAATGTATACAACTTGTACAATACATGTACATTGGCGTTTCAAAAAAGGAGAAGCAGGGCAAGGACAGAAGGCAGAAGGCTATTGCCTATCGAATAGAAAGAGAGAGAATTCGATCGGTTCAAGTTACTATGTACTTCAACAGCCGCGCGTTTAACTACCTAGTAGCGTACCTAGATTAGTCTTAAGGTTTCGCATTTGATTGGTCCCATCAACTGATTCTCTAACCGTACTCCACAATTTCATACCTTGTGCCAATCAATTAACATTCTTTTTTTTTCTCTTTTTTTTCTTTTTTTTCCTTTTTGGCATTTTCATGTTCAATCTTTGGTACCGCTCAGCTTGATAACTTCCAGGTTATTCATGCGTCTCTCCAAAAGAAATTAAGTGTGCTGGCCATATCACACCATTCTGTTGCCTATAGCCTATAAACCCTATTAATATTAATATTAAGATGCCGTCATCCGTGGCGTTGGCTGGCATAAACGCCGACTCGGACTCAGAGTCGGATGCTCAATCACTGATCCCGGCGCCGCTACCACGGCATACAAGATCCGATGCAGGTGAGTCCGCATCAGGATCAGATCCAGATTCAGAGTCAGATTCCGACTCGCTTGACAGTGCTGGTTCCCGCAAGAGACGCAAGCTCTCCTTGGAGTTGACTCCTGCAGCCGCCGAGCTTGGCACATCATCTATACATGTGCCATCTAGGATCAAGCGGAAAGGGGCCAGTGTCCTACAAGCAAAGCCATCGGAGGACTTGCCCCCCACAGAAATTTCTGTGAATACTGGGGTTGGCGCTCCTGTGGACCGCAGCACAACCTTCGAATCGTTGAATTTAAGACCATGGCTTGTCCAGTCGCTTGCCAATATGGCCATCAAGCGGCCCACAGGTATCCAGAAGGCCTGTATTCCCGAGATCCTCAAGGGCCGGGATTGTATAGGAACGAGTAGGACAGGTTCAGGAAAAACAGTGGCATTTACAGCCCCTATCTTACAGAAGTGGGCCGAAGACCCAAGTTCCATCTACGCCGTGGTATTGACAGCCACACGAGAACTAGCCTTACAGATTTACGAGCAATTCAAGGCAATATCTTCGCCACAATCTCTCAAGGTCATCTTAGTTACCGGTGGTTCTGACATGCGTCCGCAAGCTATCGCCATAGCCCAGAGACCTCATGTAGTAATCGCTACTCCTGGTCGTCTCGCGGACCACATTCGTTCATCTGGAGAGGATACCATTTGCGGCTTGCGAAGGGTCAGGTTCGTCGTGCTCGATGAAGCAGACAGACTTCTATCGGCAGGAGGCCCTGGCAGCATGTTGCCCGACATAGAAGAATGCTTAGGAGTTCTTCCCCCCTCGTCCCAGAGACAGACACTTCTTTTCACGGCTACTATAACCCCGGAGGTACGCGCGCTGAAAGATATGCCGCCGAAACCTGGCAAGGAGCCGGCCTTTGTCTGCGAGGTTGATACACAGACTCTCGCCGTCCCGACGACCTTGCACCAGATGTACATCCAAGTTAACGTCACACACAAGGAGTACTACTTACACGCTTTCCTTCTGACGGAGGCCAACATCGAGAAATCTCTTATCATCTTCTGTAATCGGACATCGACGGCCGAGTATCTCCACCATCTACTTCGGCTGCTCGACCACCGCGTTACATCCCTACACTCCCGGCTACCCCAACGCCAGCGTATCGACAATCTCGGTCGATTCCGAGCATCGGCGGCACGCATCCTCGTCGCTACCGACGTCGCCTCTCGCGGTCTAGATATCCCCGAGGTCAGCCTCGTCGTCAACTACGACCTACCCCAGGACCCCGATGATTACATCCATCGCGTGGGACGCACAGCGCGTGCAGGGCGTAAAGGTGAGGCTGTGACCTTCATCGGACAACGTGACGTAGAACGCGTGCACGCTATTGAGACACGTGTGGGTCGCGCGTTGGAGAAGTGGGAGGAAGAAGGCGTGAATCTGGAGGGTCGGTTTATCCGCGACCATATGAAGGAGGTTGGCGAGAAGAAGAGGGAGGCGTTGTTGAATATCGAAGAGCACCGCGAGGTTGGCGGTAAGAGGAAGAGGAAGAAGATGAGGCTTGAATGATGATATGACGTTGGTTGGGGTTTAAGGGGTAATGGTTATATTCAAAATACCTATCTATTAGGTACCTAGGTAGTTAGGTGTATGGGTGGATGAAAAAGTAGTGCTGAAGCAGTCGTTACATTTACGTTTACTTCGTGGTCTCCCTTGTGTCTTGATGCATTTTGTTATAAAGTATATGTGTCTGGGTAGGCATGTGTATGCTGTAAAGCCGAGAAGATCGTATGAAAAATGCCTTCGCCTCCTGCTTTTACAATTCTCGACATAGACCTGCTCCTCGATCATTGCTACTCTCAAGTATAGCTTCACATCTCCTCACCTATCATCCCCTATTTCGCATACATAAGTCCTTTCGCGTAGGTATCGCCAGGGTGAAACTAATTGCCTTTACAGCAAGTAGTTGAGCACACCTAACTCCGTATCAGGAGGTAAAAATAACAGCGATAAGTAGGCACTTACACCAATAGAATACATCTATGGACTTACATCGACATTTTTCCCCGAGCGACTTTTGCCTACCTACCCAAGTATATACTGTAGATATATACCTAGCCCCTGGGGATCCTACATCTTAGGTCGGCTGGTCTAGACGTAGCACCACAACAGCAGGTAGGTAGGTAGGCACCTACGGCATCTACCGTAGATACACGCATCTTGTTCCTGCAACTAGCTATAGATGGGTACTCGGCCGGCAGAGAGCATCCCAAGGCTCTGGAACTCTCACGAGGCCGCCGCCATCTAGCTGGCTACCCGGAACTTGGCCAGACTTCCTGCAGGAACACAGCTTCCCCTGGTAAGTGGTGGTGGTGGTGGTCGTGTGTCGTGTGCCTTCTTCGCCCTGACAGGGCGGTAGGTTACCTACCTAGGTAGGTACCTTGCATACGAGACACCTACCACACCCCCCTCCCCCCCTCGACCTGATGGTTCTAGAAGTGCTGTTTCGGTTAAACCCCGACACTATATCATCGAGGAACCCCGGGATTGGACGGTTTGCGAGGATGGGCTGAGGTTTGGTGTGTATGAGGTAGGTAGTTAGGTAGGTACATACTATCCGGATTCCGTAGATGGCTGTGTGTACTTTGAGCAGCTAGGTACTTGGCCCAGCCTTATTACATATGTATGTAGCTATGGTTTCAGAGAGAAGGGGGGGGGGGAAGGGGAAGTTGAGCTGACGCCCGCTTATGCACGGGTCATACATACGTACCTAGGCTAGCTAGTACTGCAACGCCGGGGTACGAGATTTCCTAGGTAGGCTAGGTATAGAATATATGTAGGTATGTCTACGGAGTATATGATATGTATCTCCCTAGGTTAGGTATGTATGTCTTTCTAAGACTGACTGACTGACTGCCCGACTGACACATGCATGGAAGGGGGCTTCTTTTCCTTCTAGAAGCCAAAAAGAACGAGCCAACGAACGAACGAGCGAACGAGCTTGCGCCATGGTTCTTTGCTGCATTTGTTCCGGGTCCAGGGGCTTGGGACGAGCTTTTCGGGGCCGTGACTCGTCAGTCAAGTAAGCTTAGGTACCTAGGCGAGAACGACCTATCATTGATGCATGTTTCTATGCCCCTACTCTCATCTCATCTCAGCTCACCCCTCGGTCAGATTCAGGGGTCGTTCGTTGATTGGCCGGGCTGGTCTCGTCACCTCTTATGTACCGGGCTTGGGGAGGTGTAGAATAGGTACCTAGATAAGATGTATGTACCGCCGGTTGGACGAAGGGAGAACGGGTGCTGGTTACGTGGCTTACGACGTGAGTGATTTGTCAATGAATAGGGTTCTTGGCTGACTATGGCCACGTGGAGATCCGTCCGCATATTGAGACATAACTACACTACTGGCCGTCTTGCCGTATCTCCCTTTCGTCAAGAGTACTGTACCTGTATGTACCTACATACATACCTACCTAGTACATCAATGGGCACATCTGCTCATTGGACAAAGAGCTCTACATGTGACAAGGAGGTGTAGTATAAGCATATAAAGTAATACAACACTATCCCGACCTGGGGATGTACTTTTGGTCGTCACATATTACGCCATTACCGAAAACGGTGCCATGGCGTCGGCATCGCCCATTATTGCCGTGATATTTGCACCAGGGTCTGATGTAAGTACCTAACCTACTACCTACCTACCTACCTAACTACATACCTACACTACCCAGAGGATTCCAATAGAACCCTTCCATACATCACACTGGTTAGATAGGTACTAGTACTGTATATGTAAAACACCAACTTGTCGTATGTAAGCCCTCATCAGTCCCAAGCTCGCCAAACCCATGGTTTGCGATCAATGTTATCATTGGAGGGGCACGGCAATTCCGTTCAAACAACGGTAATCTCCTCGTAAGGTTAGAGACAGATACATTCCACGTAACTAACTACCACATATCGTGTCGTTTTCTACATTACACATTTCCGGTGCCTAGATATTATTGAGGTAGTTGCAGTATCTGCCAGTGAGCCACCTAGGTAATCTAGTCTGTTCCCAAATGTATGTACATACGATTAAGCATTGGTCCAGAGACCGGACCCAAAGATCTGGGAATGACGGGACCGAGATCGGCATGTACGTGCGTAGATTATGTACGTAGCCTAGTTAATATGTAGATTCTCTTGTATGTACGTATAACTACTTAGGTGTGTAGAGTGTAGTATGTATGTATGACATACACCCAACTACCTAACTACATTTGATATCAATATTTCCATGCATGTCGCAGAATTGTGCCCTTGGGCCCACAGCAACGCATATCGCAACCTCCGCCTTTCTGACATACATACATATCATACATGAGAAAAGACCGCCTAGGTGGTTAGCTGGGAAAGCCGATGGTATGGATGTATGGCCTGATAGGAACTAGTAGCTAAGACGAGCGAGCAGCATAAGGCAAAGCTATCATAGCTAAGGTAGGTAGGTAGGTAATAAGGGCAGAATACATAGCTAGGTTAGGTATTTCTGACATAAGAGGCTAAGCAAAGCAAAGCAAAGCAAAGCTCGGTTGAACTACCTTACCTACCTAATCTAGTGGGACTTATGGAAATACAAATCCCTAACATACCTAGGTAGGTAATAACAAGGTGAAGCGAGGTCAGGTGAGGTGAGGTAAGAGGCACGACGAACCGAGCTATGGGCAATAAAGCTAGGTATTCTACGCATAAGCTTGGCACACCGCGCCCTTTTCTCAGATCGAAAGGATAGTATATCTAGGTACCTACCTACCTACTTGACGATGTAATAGTATGGAGCCGAACGAACGAACGAACGCCACGGCTTACAGATCTGCATCTGATATTGTAAGCCTTTTTTTTTTTATCTCTCTTACCTACCTACCTATCCAGGCACCTATTTACGCATTATACTACTACTACATAACTTATGTAGGTAGCTTAGGTTAGGCATCATCATATCATAGCGCGCTATTTGCCAATAAGTACATCTCATCCATGACTATAACTACTACCTACTAATAGTAATAAAGACCATCTTTTCCCAGCCAAGAAAGTATATATATATATGATTTCTAGTAATAGCTTTTTTTTTCCTATTTTTCTCTTCTAGGTACGTCGAACTATTACCTGATAGAGAGGTAGGTAGTTCATAAATACCTTAAGATCTTGTGCTATTTTCTTGTCCATCTGTGTGTGTACGGCTCAATTGCCGATCCATGGCTACGAAGGGGATAGCCTCGCAGATTATGTACTTACATTTTTCTACATCATGTAACTAGATATGTAATCACTATGATTACACATCGAACAGGGGGGGGGGGGCTTGACCTCTCTTCTCTTCTGCCTGGGTACCTACTGTAACTACACTAGGTACTTACCAGGTAGGCTTGCTTGGAAATCATGCACCCAGGTACATATGTAGGTACATAGGAGTGGCATGCTTAACTACCTATTCCGGTATGATACATACCCTACCTACACCATCTCACGCGTGCCAGGCAAGGATCTGTATGGTGGGGGGATGCTGTCTCACATACAAAACCACGTGCGAGCGAACAAGGGGTGGGGGGAAAAGAGCAAGCCCCCCATGCCTTGTATGCTGTCCTTCGCTACACTTAAAGGCTAGGTAAGGTACTGTGCCATGTATGTAGGGATTCGCAATGGGGATACTAAGGACGAGTCTAACGGCAGTCCCGCCATGATGTGCCTGGCGATGGTAAAACGGATAGGCAGAAGATCTGATAACACGGACGGCCCCTAAGTAACATGACTCGTCCGAACCTCCGATGCTTGGTTTTATCTACGGTCCACATCGTGTCTGGCACAGATCGCAGATCGCAGACCGCATACCGCAAGACCACAGTTTGCCAGATCTTGCCTAACTATAGTCCGTCTCTACTTCGGAGGAAGCGAAGGAAGCGGGAGATAGGTAGACTATTGAACTGTTCTTTTCCCACCCGGCTAGTCATGCGAGAGAGGCAAGGGAGCCACGAGGACGTGTAGAGGTACATATGTCTCGCCTGCATGATGTAAAACATTGACCTTAAAGCAGGCAAGCAGGCTCTCGGGGCCACTCGGGCGTTTAAATCCCGCCCACGAGGCGTGAGGTGTGCCAAAAGAGCGCTTCTACGCTACACACACATACCTATACACATGCATGTATACCTCCAAATACCGCATCTTCGGGGTGTTATTCGATGCGTTGGAAGCCTGCACTGGACAGGAGGGCGATAACGCCATGTAGGAGTTCTGATCTCCTTCGATCCCATCTCGACAGTGGTGGGCTGCCTGGTTAGTTGATTCGGTCCCCTGATAGTATTACACTCTCCAGATGAAACCAGAATTGCTGGTGGATGACCAGAGGGTGTGCGGTTGCTGATGTCAGAGGTGTGATTGGACTACCGAGATGTTTGAAAGGGTCTCAATGCAGGCACCACGGAATGCCACGTTTTTTTCTGTGTGAAGTGGAGGGTGGTATATCAAATCGAATCCTTCGCATCATTATTACCAATTGATATGGTACCTTTCGTGAAGTTCATTGGCATAAAGGGTAGTTATTAGCTGTAGCCTG